ATATCTGCTTCCTGGGGTTCGCTGTCACTAAAGTCTAGGTATGAAAACAAGTTCATTCATCATACCTGGTTAAGCTCCTCAGCTTCAAGCCTAAGACAGGCCTAGACATCCCTGTTCCATGGAGAATATGTCCTGTTAAAGGCAATGCGTAAAGTCCTTCGTGCTTTCATCATACTTGTGCTATTACATTTGCTTAAAACAGGATCTCCACGTCAGTCAATGTATTTCAACCACATCCTGCCAGATAGCGTCTAAAGTCATGAAGTAAGAGTGTGAAGCGTCATACGCTGTCATACAGTCGATCACACCCTGGGGTGTGAAAGTATAGGCTTTTTCTTAAACTGCAGCTGTGATACTGGACTAGGAGGGAAAGGATATAAAAACTCAGCAGGCTCTCTATCAATTCCCAAATAACTCCTATGTTCACTTCTCACAATCTAAAAGGTATTCAAGACAGACATCCATCCCTTATTCGTCTTCAGCAGCCAAAATGAAGCTTCTAGCCTTGCTATGGTGACATGTTTACAGCATGGACACATCTTCCCGGACCTGTGAAATATGCCACACTGTACTCAGCACCCCTGCGCAGACGGCTCCATTGTCTCGGAATCTGTGGGGCCTACGGCAGACTCCAATTCCTGGCGGCCCTGGCGTGGTAAAGCATACTATTTTCTTGGATGGCATCTTCTAAATACCGGCTAACTATCTGTGGAGTGCGCTTTCGAAGATCCAAGCAAGGACCTGATCTGTGGCGGTAAAGAGCATGGTAAATGCTGGTTTGCAGCCATTTGCTCCGGCGAGCTGATAATGGACCTAGATTTCTATGTCCTGGTGGCTCTGCAGGTAACCTTTGGAGGGGATGATATTACAGCGGACATGTGGTAATTCCCGGGCTATGATAAATTGCTTCCTGACTCTAGGCTTGGTGTGGGTTTTCATGTTATTGGGTATTTCCTCACAATAGTCTAAATTGGAAATGTTAATTCAGATTTCAAACCTGTACTTCTGGTGATACTATACAGCCTAAAACAACATATCACACTCAGGCCAACTTAGATTCAAATATTAGGATTTGCCGTAGACAAACGTTGAAATCAAGCATTATGATTGGCAAAGAAAATCCGATGCACCTTACAGTATCAGTCTTGCTCATGAATTAGTATCCTCTCAATTTTCTCATTTTATGTATGCTTGCCTGTTCATTAGGTCGCCACTTAGCGAAATTAATTATCTATCTATCCCATGACTCTGGACACAGTCCGCTCAGGAAGTTTTGGAGCGACTACAGGCCATTAAGACGGTATATTGGGAAACTGGGCCAACTCAGCGCATTCGGAGCACTGTATTGAGAGTTCTTTCCTCTGTCTGGCGGGACTGCAACTATCACATTTCGATCCTCACAAATATGCGACTATGCAGATCATGTTGTCTATCTGTTACTTCACTATCATCTCTATTAGCTGGAAGTTTATCAGGACACCATTTTAGCTTAGTGGTAGGATGCATATATGACAAATCATATAGTGAGGTGGTCTGCATTCTTAATAAGCATTTTCTTCAACCTAGAAGCATCCGCATGCGAGACCACAAAGACCTGTCTAGAGCTCTCTGATATCAATGACCCTATGAAACAGTGCATATCTGGGACCTGAGGAACAGCATTAACTAGAGCGAGCCCAGAAAAAGACGGAAAACTAGTTATACACCCACAGACATTGAATGCGGCGCGGCCTTGGCATATCAATCAGACAGTCAGACTGTGGAAGACAGACACGTAAATGCTCAAAACTTGGTAGTTGCTAGGATCCAGACCAGGAGTCTTATTTGACGTCTGAGACATCTTTGACGTCGGAGCGATCGTACCGCCGCCTTGAAGGAAGCAGTCGACGCAGGATCTCGTAACCATATTCTGTGCCGGTTGCAGTAGTGCTTCGGCCGGGACGGACCGTACGACATTACTGGTGCCCCGCGAGCTGCCAGCCCCACAGTCTCAGTGCACTCATCATGGAAGAAGTGGGATCTGGGAACAAGAAAGAAATTGTGTGATATGAATGCGTATGTTTGTGCTCAGTTAGCCTCAGCTAATTGGCTGGTGCTAACATGTATGAAAACAGTAGACATAATAGAAGTTATATAACAAGAGAAGGTCTACAATTATGAAGTAATTAAGCGTTGATAGTTTTGGGATATGTACCATGGCATGTTTTTGCCTCTGTTAAGGTGCAAAGTATTTGTCAAATGGATATTACATCCATGGCTCAAGCATCACATGCCCTTCTCTATTCGTGAACAATGCATGTGCTGTTCTCGCTGCGACTATGCCAATCGTAACGTTGGAGTCCAACTGGAACATGTCTCCAAAGGAAAGTAAACCAGAAGAAGTATCCAACCCTCTGCCAAACAGACTTCATCCTAATAGCTAGAGTAGGAAAGGTTATATGACTTTCTTGTGGAGAGAATTAACAGATCTGTGGTGGTTCGTAGGGTGAGGTATCAGAAATTGGAAGATGATAGATTCTGACAATGCTAAAACTCTTCAGCTCTAATCTATGATTATTGACGGGTTTAATGCGCGTAGGCCTACGGAATAGTAATATGTGATGTTGTTTCTTGTATGTTGCATATGAAGAATCATGTAACTTCCCATTTGCGATAAATGTGGACACAAGAGTACAATTTATTGATATCAACACATTTGTTTTGATCTATAGGTATTAGATGGATGACATATATCAAGCAGCCAACTATTAGCCGTAACCCTTTAGAACACTTCTATTAGAAATAAATGAGAGATTCTTATAGAAGTAGATAGATGACACTATGAGTCTCGATAAACAGCATTTTTTATTTTCCATTTTGGCTCTTTATCACAAAGGCAGGATGTAATATACAGATATATTTAGGTATTCCTATTTGTTTAAGAGTTGAAAACAACTTTCGGGGCCTTGCTAAAAAGAGGAGAGTAAATATTTATCATCTAATGTACATTTATCATGGAATATTGATGTCTATATCGCCTGAGTGCCTTGCCCTTGATTGAAGCTTACGACTAGTCGCCCCTGTGAGTGCTTCGATTCGACAGCTCTACTCCTGTCTCTTGCTCAATGGCTTCACGTCTCTTCTTTTCGTCATATTTCTCGTCCAGTCCAAACTCCGTCACCAATTCCTTCCGCAACTCCACTTGCGGGATCCACACTGCAAGGGGAAACGCCGCGAGGGCGAACGCCAGCAAGACCTGCCAAACGAGCTTCAAGCATGACTGATAGACATCCAGGATTTACGCTGCACGGTTGGATTATTGTCAAAGGTCTCAATGAAGACCTTGGTGGCATGTTCATATGCCCCACCACGAGCCAGGAGTGCGCGGGTGGCCTGGTCGCTGATGTGAGACAGCTGTCTGTCGAACTTGGAGTTGAACACGGCGGCGGGGATGGCGGCGCCCCAGATGGCGCCAAAACTTCGCACGAATGCCCAGCTGGTGGTGGCGATGGCGACGTCCTTCTCTGGCAGCGGAGCCTGTACAGCAGGCAGCGTGGAGGTGAGCGACAGCCCGCCGCCGATTCCTGTGATGATTTGGAAGATGACCCATGTCGCCGTACTCGACTTGTCAGTCAGGAGGGTCAGGAGACCAACCCCGACGGCAATCAGACTGTAGCCGAGAATGATAGTGAGCTTTTACCGGCCGGTGATGGCCACCATGAGGCCACCCGCGATGCCAGCTGGCATGAGAGGGATCACGATGGCGAGAATATCCACCCCGGACCTCATGGGGCTGGCCCGCAGCATCACCTGGAAGTAAACCGGTAGGAAGAACGAGAGCCAGGACATGATGATCCCGTGCAGGAAAGTGAGAATGTAGGCCACCAGAGAAGTGGTGTTGCTGTACACGCGACGCGGCATCGTCGGCTCGCGCGCGATATATTCCTGATGCAGGCCGAATAGAACCAGCCGAGAGCGCCGACTAGGAGCGGGACGAGGATGTGCCACGAGCTCCAAGTATACGTGGTTCCTCCCCGGGTAAGGGCAATCAGGATGGCTACAATCGCCGCAGAGAGGATCATATTCCCGGAGAAATCCACGCGAGCAAGTCGGTCCTTGAGAGTGCCCTCTCGGTTCCATTTGACCCTCAGAAACAGAGCCACTAAGACCAGGGCAATTCCCGCTACAGGGAGGTTGATGTAGAAGACCCACCGCCAGGTCGTTTTGGTGACGATGGCGCCTCCCAGGACAGGTCCGATAAACGTCCCCAGGGCAAAGGTGCCCATGATGATACTCATTAACTTCTGTCTCTCCCGAAGGGCTACCAAATCAGCCGCGATGATATCGACCATCACAAAGATTCCCCCGCCTCCAAGTCCCTGCACGATTCTCGCGGCAATGAGCATTTCAGTGGTGCTCGCTCCGCCACAGAGCCCGCTTCCCAGGGCAAAGAGGACGACGGAGATGATCATAGGGTATCGCCGACCGAAAATGTCGGACGCTTGGCCGGCGATAGGCTGGACCGCAGCCACAGCCAGAAAATACGCGTTGATTGTCCATATATAAAGCGAGCCCGAGTGCAGCTGGTCCACGATGGTCGGGAGAGCAGTGGCAAGAACGGAGGTGTCCAGGGCAGCAAGAAGGATGGCAAAGCAGAGGCCTGGGAAAACGGCCCAGAAACGCCATCCACGATGTTGCCGCTGAGGAAGAGGATTGAGAGGATTCACAATGGACTCGTCATGCTTTTGGAAATGGCTTGCGGTATGCGTTCTTCAGACAGGCTCTCAGCCATGATCCTGGTTGTGACGGCCATGACGGGTGTAGGCAGAGGGTCGTAGGGTACGGTCATTGAAAAACATGCGAGACTGACGATTGGAGTTAAAAGAACGAAACAGCTCTGTAATACAGAATTGCGGCTTGTTGATAATTCCACCCCTTCTTTAACCCCATACTGGATCCAGACAAGGACTGGATGGGAAGAAAGACTACGATAAGCATGGACAACTCGGGGCATATCGGAGGCAAACAAAACAGGAGTCTCATCTGAGATCACCCAGTGAGTGTGAGAGACTGGATAAATCGATCCTTACTGCCCAATGAGGCCCCTAGGCTGGTTTCTTTGTCTGCAAAGACGGACATTGCCGGGCCAGCGCACGCTGAAAAAGTACAAGCCAGCGAGTCATGCCAGAAGCGGACATTACAATTTCCCCCAATTAACAACCTATGATAATTTTTTGCAAATGCAGAGATAGTACCGCGGAAGAGAGGCTGAGGTTGTCAGGAGTGTCCTTTACAGTGTGATATTCTCGATCGGGGGAACTTACAACACCGACGAGCGTCTAGCCAGCGTAGATGTCCCCACAGAGCAATTGACCGGCGAGTCCGGCCTAGAGAAGCATCAGTCGACCGCTGATACGACATCCACTATCTCGTACCTTGATCCAATGGCTGGCTGCGTGGTTGGGAAGCTCTCAACGGCTAGACCACCCGTTTTCGAGGGATCGGAGCTCATGCTCCTTAGTGATAGTTCTTAGCTGAGTAAAGGTCCAAATGGGCGATTTGTCTGGGATGATTGCGCCACATACTGTCATCTATCACCGGCTACTTTAAGGTAGTTATATCCACTAAGAGGAAAACCAAAACTTGCGCCGAATGTGGGACAAAGTCTCATCAACGGAAAATACACCTCCGATGCTTTCTTCTGCCTATTGTTTAACGGAGTCGTCCTCAAGCGGCTGAGTGCGGGCAGAGCGGTCCGCTTTTCCCCGTGGATAAGCCACAGTGGTAAGCTGACATCACCCCGAAGTCATTTACCGTATCTAGTGAGAATTCAGGAAGATATGGTCAGCGAGGGATTATCAGCAATATCTAAGCGTCTGGATATGCACGGGTATAGGACATAAGCAGTAGGGAAGATGAGCGGAGGGGTATCTCTATTACTACTCTCTATCATAATGTGAATGTAGAAAATCAACTCAAGTTTTCGTGCGGTTACGAAGTTGCATCACCGTATTATGCCAGAGGAGTTGTGCATATAATACGTGAAGCTCATAAGCCAGCCATGGCAACATCTTGAAATCCCTTGTAGACTGGCTGCCCGGGTGGAGGTTAGAGCATTCAACACTGATGTATGTCACCCTGGCCATTCCATCTGACACCCCTTTCCACAATGAATTCTTGGAATCCGCCATCCATGAACCGCCACGGTAGACCATACGATGCTGCCTTGTCCACTGTTCGGACCAGCCCGTCGGGAAATTTCCAGTACATCACGGCTCCGGCTGTGTCGGTGGGACTATCTTGGATCGCGTCCCTGTTTGACGGGAACTCGGAGCAAGGCTCGGGTGCTTCTGGACCAAGAGCGTGAGGCTGGATAGAAGACTTCTGATTTGTACTCCAGGTCCCAAGCATGAAGGCTCCCATGCTGCCTTGATCGCCGAATAACAGACTACCTGGCGCAAAGGACAGTGGCGGCACCTCTTTGTCCAGAAACCACGCCTCCGGCCCGGCGGCCCGCGCATCAAGAAAGGCAGCAACTAGATTCTGCATCAGATGATGCGCATCATCCTTCTCGGTGTTACTCTGTTCACTGTCAAATGCTCCGTACCCAGCGAGAAGGGACACGGGGACATCCGCTTGAAGGGCTGCGAAGGAGGGGACCCAGCGGGTTTGGTTGCCACCAGACCATGAGGCCAGCAGAGCTGACTTTTCCATCCCCCATACAGACTTCGGGACCGCTTCGCTGCTCTCCACGAGGTTGCGACATGCACTTGACTTTGGAAGTTCCTTGATGGAGACTCTCGGGTATGACCGGTCAAGGCGTCGCTTGCCAAGGTATGCGGCGACGATGCTGCCGGCCGCAGCTAATGAGACCACACCTGTAAGTCGAGGACGGTTTTGCATGAAAGTGATGATGTTCATGATGGCGGTGTGGATTGAGTTGCAAGCAAATAGGTCGGGATCTGGAGCATCTGAAGATACTGCGAGCGCATTCAATGGAGATTCAGCGCCGTCACCCGTTGCACCCTTGTATATATTAACGAAGTCTAGGTCCAAAAGAGGTATTGATGATCATTAACTGTTGACTGAATGAGCGATATGCAAACTGCGACAGAGATGATGAATTGAGAAATGCAAGAGACACGTCATCCCCGGGGTTGCTTACATTATAAGCATGGGCTAAGGGCTATAAATACATCCTGACACTCTTTGTACAAATTGGACAAAGGAATATGACTCACCTATAACTGTAACAACTATCGTCAGCTATTGCCACTATTTCCACGTACGGGGTGCAAACATCAGCTCGTTTTAGTATCAGTGATCACCTCCAGATCGTATGCTGTACTACATTATTCGGTAGAATTAAAGAAGCTTGATGGCAACTTATTTGATCTTGCAGGACTGAAAATGCGGCATCCATCGGCCGAACCCCATCCCTTTGCAGAAAGCAGGAAGACGGGCCTCACTATCACCAGCAGTTCGCTTGCATAAACGCCTACACCTTCCTCTTGACGTATTTGCTCATAGATTGACAGTCACCGAGTCACTCAGATCATACAACTGTCAACTCAACGTCCATTCCTAATCATTGTGTTGGGGCCGGTGTGGCCAGATGGTAGCCTCCAACTGCCTCCAGCGGTTCGGCATTAATCATGTTGTGCTCGAGAAGCATGCTGAGGTTGCGCTGTCAATGGGCAATGGCATCTCCATGTAGCCACGTGGCCTACGGGTCCCCATCAACTCAGCTATCTCCCTCCGGTTCAATGTGACGCAGTGCCAGTGAACCATTTTTTTGGACCGGGGGCCGGATGGCCGGGTGATACAAGATAATCTACTGTACACCCATGCTGAGAAGAAGTACGTCAATTTTTAAGTTGTGTACGTTATGCACCCAATCTAACTTATAAGTCATGGTATTGGCTTCTTTCCCCTGGAAAGACGCAATCTCCTGCAGATTCTGTATGACGGCCTGCCTGACAAAATCATTTGTCCATACCAAAGCGATCATCAAGAATGTCACGCAATTCCCAGACCCGGTGGAGGTCTGCCTTGCAGACGGCACTGTTGAGACTGGTGACATGGTCCTCAGTTGTGACGGGGTCCACAGCTTGATGCGGAGCTTCATGTGGGATCAGCAGCATCGACAGTACCTCCGAGGCCTTCAGCATGTACTTTAAGAACTACACCTGTGATCCATTTCAATCCCAGGCCTCAGCCTTGTGAACTGGGCAACCTCGCCAGCTACTTGATCGATGTGAGGTCAGCCGAGGACGTCACGGGAGGGATCATGTTTTCGAGGGAGCAAAACATCCGGCTGGTCATCAAAAATACTGGCCATGATTACGCGGGCATGTCGACGGGAAAAGGTGGACTGTCCCTGTGGACACGTAACCTGGGCTCGACCCAGTTCATCTACACTTATGAGTCCTCCTACTACAACGGGCCAGCCATCAAGCTCGGGGCCGGCGTTCAAGGGTTTGAGGCGTATGCTACGGCCAACACGACGGGACAGGGCTTTGTTGGCGGCGTCTGTCACATTGTGGCTATCGCAGGCGGATTCGGCCTGGGTGGAGGCCACTCGATCCTCTCCAACAGCCACGGAACGGGGTCCGATAACGTGCTGGAGTGGGAAGTGGTCACCATGGACGGGAGACATCTGCCAGAGCAGAATTCTAACCTCTACTGGGCCCCCAGCGGTAGTGGTCCGGGCACCTTTACTGTTGTACTCTCCATGACAGCCCGGCTGCATGCAGATGGCATCATTGGCGGGGCTAATCTGCGATGTAATTGGGAGTTTTATCCATTTACCTAAACTAAACTAAATCTAATCATTGCTAGTCAGTAGGGGGCCTAGCTAGGCCTACCTAGGCGTAGCACGTAGTAGGTTTTTGTCGTGAAACTCATACTAAGTTAGAATAGATCTAATTTAGATCTAATTTCTAAAGCCTAACCTGAAATCATACTAGTTTAGTCACTTTAGTGCTAACCAGGGTTGAACTCGTCTAAACTTAGACCGAGCACAACTCTATACGAGGGATTACTAATTTACTATAACTCTATCTCTGTTTCTAGAAGTCCTGCAGTCCTGCTAGGCTGCTACATACCTGAGAGTAAAGAGCTTCTATTTTAATCTTTTAATATAGCTATTTTAGTTTTATGAGATTGCATTCTCTCCTCTCCCCCCGCGCCCCACACTTCCTCCTCCCCAACAATGACTACACCATACAATGCTACTAATGATGTACCGTAACTGGTAGGAAATGCAGCCCCAAATACACTGGGCGTGGTCGGTAAGGTCGAATATTAGTACTCAATTAATCTATTGCTATAAGGACATTGATTTCTCTGTTGTCCAGGTTTGAGAGAGTCTCTGCAGGCCGAGGGGCGCCCACTGAGAGCGTTCTGCATTTTCTTCTTGCTCTGAAGGGATATTTATGATCCAACAACCTGACTCCTGCGTTGAAATGGTCACCTAGTTAGTGTCCCGTCCAACCAGTTTCATCAAAGTTAAAGACCCCCTGCCTATTCTTTTCATACGATGCACACTGGGTTGCTCAATGTACGATTAAGCCCCCACTAGACTGTCTGGCTGACCCTCCTACTCACCCGGCTCATCGTTGTCGTAATCTGGAGGAAGATCAATTGTCATACTCCTCTGTTATACGCCAGATTAGTTTCCAATCGATCCGATCCTATGCGAGACTGATTACGTTTATAGAGCGACTTGAGAGCAGCTATTCACTGCAGTTCTGTGTTGATTGACACTCTATTTCTCAAGACATTACTCCCATTTGAAGGAACAGACGTTTGCCACAGAAATCACAATATGGTCATATCACCAATCTGTCGTATGTTTATGTTTAAACACCAGAGCAGCAAGGAGCGGCACGAAGAAAAGAGAAGAGTTGAAATACTGGTTGTACACCCAGATTGTCTGGGGTACAGGGGAAAGCATCACCCCATGGATCGCAGTTCCCTGATAACTACACAAGAGAAAGGATGCCTCTTGCTTCACTGAATTGTAGTCAAATGCTGCCTGTGGATGTCTCTGGGTGTATAGTCCAGTATCATGAAGCTGGCCTTGACAACCTGAGGATGGCAATTTTCCATTACCCAGTGCGCAAACATATCCATCCCCGCGCATGCCCCAGAGGCAGTCCAGAAGCATCCGTCTGTGACCCACAGTTGGGAGTCATTCCAATGGACTTTCGGGTACAGTAGCCGGGCTTGTGGCAGAAGCACGTGGTTGACAGTGGCATCACGGCCATCAAGTATCCCCGTTTGGGCCAGCAGCAGAGCGCCTGTGCAGGTTGTGAAAATTGCCTTGACCTCCTGGGATCGACGTCGAATGAATGATTCAAAACACTCCGGAAGGCGGTAGCCCGGCGACGGTCCACCGATTAATAGATAGTCAAGAGGTGGACATGTGTCGCAGGTGGTTGTCGGTAGTGCCTGAAGGCTGCCGGTATGTTGGACGGGCTTCAGCTCATTACCAACGTAGTAAAATTCAATATCAAGGCCGGCAGCTGCAGTGTTCTTGGAGACCAGACCGTCCCGTTCCATGACTTCGAGGTACGGTCGCGAGCATGAGGAGAGGATGTCCACTGGCCCGGCGACGTCGAGGGTTTGGTAAGGAACCATTAAGATTCCGAAACGAATGGGTGGCATTTTGAATGGGCTTAGTCTTTTTTTATTCGATAGGGAATCATCAATCAGCATGCAGTCGACAGGGTGGTAGTCGGCCGCATTTATAACACTAAAACTGCGCTGTCCATCAACCACGCGCAGATGACTTACAGCTTAACTTGGTCTCGGACAGATTCGGCATAGGCCATTGGGTCATCGTCTGGACCATCAAGATGTGTCCAATCTACAGCATTGTTATCCCTGCTTGACTACTTTGTGAGACAAGGTTCCCCACAACTCCTTGGCGGTATTTACTGCCCCAAGCAGTTAGGCTAGGATATATACGCGTGATCTGACGGAGTTTCAGAGCCTTTTGCTGTCTGTAGCTGAACCCCAGATACTCGCTCAAGTGTGAAAGGAATTTTCTCTTTCCACTGACACGCTTGTGGTTTGCTAAGAACAGCAACTCATGGGAAAAAGGCTCTGTGCTCGTCGACAGTTGTAAGGCCCAAAATAATGTAGAGTAGATTGTGACAAGCGGCTGGACAGGGAAGCACTAAGAAGACTTCTATTCAAAAGTGGAGACTTCGGCGTTATTCGAAGCCGAATTAGGCTGCAACTCGTACTCGTATCTGAGAACCACTCTGGCTGCGGATAAAACAGCTCCAGCTCAGAGCTACCAGTGCATCCACATCAAAATGGCGAGAGAATTGAGAATCAATGGCAATCGCCACGAGGAGTATATCAATCTCATGTTGTGTCCTAAAGTATACTGTATAACCTCAGAAACAGTCTCTCAGCAGCAAAGAGGGCGTTAAATGGAACTATTGTTGTTCTGTACGGGGAACTGGAGTATGTCATCGGGGGTACTGTGTTCTAAAATGGTCATATTCTACTAATATTCGTTATTTAATGCTTCCTAAAGCCTCGTGTGAAGGCTGAGTCAATGTACCAAATGTACTAACTATCAATCAGCTAGCACGGTATCCACATTTGCCGTGTTCTTCTTGCTGTCTACTGCAGAATAGCTAACTTTAACTAGTAATATCTTGTTTTACTCACAGTATAGTCAAGGGCACTAGCACTAACTTCTTCTCTTAAATTTGCCTCAACCCTGTATTCAGTCAGCGGCAGCTTCGCTCATTTACTGCATCAGCTCCTCTAATAGCAGTTAAGTAAATATACAGCGGCGCAGAGGTGTCCTCCCATTAAAATCCCCGCCATCGGTAGGCAGCAGCAAAGCCACGAAGTAGTTAACTGCTGAGGGAGGAGGAGACTCCGTGGATCTGTTGATCTCCATTGAGCAGACCCTTGTTTCAAACTTGGGGCCGAATTCGTAGTGGTTTGTGGCGCCTGCCCAACTCGATAATCTCATTACTTTTGCACCTTGGCGGTGCGTTTTATGCGCTGTTGCTAGGCAGCTACATTAATACCTCCGTAGCTTGGTTTCGCGTACTTCCTCTCGTACTCGGATGTGGATTGTTAAATGACACCGGCTAGGACATCGCAAAAACCAGAGATATCAACACCGAAACAAGCAGTGGTGCAAGATGAACGCCATGCCAGAAGTTCCTGCTGTAATAGGGTTAATTCCGCCTAACCTTGAAAATCAAGCTCCACCAAAGTATGTTAAGCCTGGTCCCTACACTTTCCGTTCAAGTAAACCCTTGTCTCAGAGCTGTGGGTTCTTTGGTGTGGATAGGTATCCTAGTATTGAGTATACCTTGTGGCAGTGCTAATGTCTCAGGAGACTGTGAAATGAAAGCTATCTGGCTTGCGTCTATCTGTCGTACTTGTCTTGTTTATATTAAGTGCCCGGGATGCCTCAAGAGACGAGTCAATCTTATAGCCATTCGGACGCGAGTTAGCCATGTCTCTCCTTGCATTCGTGGTGTCTTTCTCTTACCTCTATCTAACGGGCTCGTTAGTCTTTGATACCATCCATTGGCTCCTCCACAAATGGTCCAGATCACAATGGAGATTCCTTCGTTGGCTTTCATACTGCCACCAATTTCATCATCTCTACTACAACCGCTCGCTGAAGTTCAACCACCGGTACTCACGACAGAATTCCTGGATTGCATTACCTCTTGAAATGCTCTGCAAAGTTCTTGGAAGCATAGCAGGATGGCTTCTTGCCCGGCACTTGATGGCACATAACAAACAAACCATTGATACAGCGCCTCTACTCGTGGCGTCCGGATTCGAGATTATACGAACTCTTGTTGTCATTGCCATGAGCGGTCGAGACTCGAATCATATCGCCTTCGACACCGTGCCTAAAGACCATAGCTGGCTTTTTGTCGGACCCGAGTACCATGCCTTACACCACGTCTATCCCGAGCGATACATGGGCTCGATGGTCAAAGCATTTGACTGGGTAGCGGGAACTGCATACTCTCTGCGGGGCAAAAGGGTCATCCTCACAGGCGGATCGGGTGCGTTTGGGTGCGCAATAGAGAAACAGCTCCTGTCTGAAGGGGTGATGGATATTAAGAAGTTACAGTTCGGAAAAGACCGGACTCATCATGACGTCTCTGGAGTCAGCCACTTTATGGAAAAATCTGATATCCTTATCTTAGCACATGGTACCAAAGGGAGGGATGCCATGGATGCTAATTGCAAGTCGACCATCCGCCTCATCGAACTCTTCCTCGGACGCAAAGCTGTTGACAATACTCGCCAGACCAAGACAGCCCCGGAGATATGGTATGTAGGCAGCGAGATCGAAGTTCACCCTGCATGGGGAAATCCAGAAATGCAACGATACTCCGCCTCAAAGCGGGCGTTCCTACCTTATGCTCGAGCCCTATATGACGATCCTCGGGTAATTTACCGTCACATCGTACCTGCGGCCTTTGAATCGCCCATGGGAAAAGCAATTGTTTCGCCAGATTGGGCTGCCCGTGTGGCTCTATGGTGGATTCGTCGTGGAGCTTATTATGTTCCTGTCACCTACACGGGACTCGCTTTTTTGAACTTCTTCAAATTCCTTCTTTTGGTTCGCCCATGCACAAGGCCAGACTGTGAGCAGTAGCACAGAGTATCTCTACAATTGGGATTACGCAGTATATAGACATTGTTTAACTATGTTCATAGTTTTCTGGCGTATGTACATAGCGAAGAGGGTGGAGCTATGTGGGGGAAGTATCTGAAGTATTTCCTGTGAAGGAGGTTCTCATTTTCTTCGATATATTCTCCATTCCAATTGTTTCTTAAATGATACATACGGGTCCTGTGATATCTGTAAAACAGAAATACCCGCCGCATCTTTGCCTTGCTCAAAACCACAACCTAAAAATTGAGGTTGGAAATTTGACCTCTACGCGACCTTTACATGGACCAGGACGTCTTGGCCAAATTTACTGCCGAAGATGGCTAGGTTACCCACCTTTGTAAGGTTAAGATCCGGACACTTTGAGATGAGCTAGGGGTTCTTGGCCAAATTTACTGCCTAAGATGGTTAAGCTAGGCTGCCAATGTTTCGGAGCATTTACTTTTACTAAAATTTGCCACCTAAATACCTCTAAAGTGGCAGAGGATATTTTACTTCGCTGCATTTTTGCTTTGCCAAATAATCAGAAAGTGATCAGCCTGCAGGATCCAGGCAGAGGCCCCATCTGGCTACTGAAAAGGCGTCGCTATAAGTCAACCTCGACTGGGAAGACATAACCAACAGCAGTGCGGATGCTCTCCGAATTATTGAAAATCAGTAATGCGCAACGGAACATCGTTGAATTAGAGGTATTCATAAACTGCGGTATGTGCCATGAACATTCTCCACTGGAGAGGAGCCTCAGCCTTGGGCCGAAATCAAGTACTGCAATAGTATGCTCCAGGGGATGCTTTTCTTGTCCTTAGTATTTCTACTCAAGGTCAGGCAGAGAGGAAACTAAAACAGAGTGCTCTTTCTAAATGGCCATGTTATCAGATCAAAGTCTCAACTTTCCGACACTCAAGCAGTGCCTCTGGCTCGGGTCCGCGATAGATTTGGAGGATCTCCAGCCCGACACTCGACAACAACTCCTTCCATTCGTTCTCGCTGCGTTCCTTGCCTCCAAAGGTCAACATGGAATGATCACTCATGGCCTCGGATAGGGTGAGATTCGTCGAAGGCAACACCTGTCAGTACCCTCAATCAGTACTTGGTTCCTTAAGGCATATTCCCAGGCAGACTGACTGCATCCATGATTAGGATTTTGGACCGCTTTGCATCCATCGCGGACACCAAGTGCCTCAGAATGATCCGAGACTTATCATCGCTCCAGTCATGCAGAATCCTCTTTAAGTGATAGGCAGCCGCTCCTTTAGAAAAATGGGAGACTGGGGTCAGCATCCAGAAGCCACACGACAGGGAGACGTACCTTTAACCGGCTGCTCTATGAAGATATCATGAACCATCAACTCCACTCCAGCCGGCGAATCCGACATGGATTGAAATGTAGACGCCAGATCCTGCACTATCATCCGCCCTTTCAGTTGGGGGTAACGAGAGCGGATCTCCTGGAGAAGCTCGCCTCGGCTTCCACCGACATCCACGATTGCAACGCTCGACGGGTCATCGTCTACCAGTCTCAACTGGGCTTGGTAATCATACACTGAGCAGGAGAGATTAGTCTTTCTTGGATGCGCCTTCATCGACGCGATGAAGAGCTGTTGGATGCTGGGACGGTCCCGCAGGTAATCAAAGAACCCATACCCGGGCTTCTGGAAGTATGCCGCCAAGGGCGTACTGAAGTCATCATGAGAACGAGGTTCTCGGTGTCCGTATTGACGGAAGAAGGAGGGGTTGAACAGTACAACCGGCAGAAACTCAATACTGCTTATTCGTTAGCACAACTATTCCCGGAAGCGAACAGCCGGTGGCGGTCAAGCCGCATACGCAAAGCTGGTGGCCTCCTCATAGGCTGGCACTGCAAAGATACTCCCCTGCCTGCTGACTGCGTATGCGCCGCCTTCTATTTCCGATAACAGATGATCGGCAACTAAGGGGCGGAGGACCCGTACTAAGAAGCTGGTGGTCAACAGAGGCAATTACTTGTCTCCAGCCGTGTTGTTTTTTGGTCAAAACGAACCTATGAGAGACTCCTCGGCCCCTGAAGCTGCTGCCAACTCCTTCGCCGTGGCACTAGATTGGTTTTGCAGATAGCGAAACACTCCAATGTCCTGTGCCACCTTGATGGGAGACAATATGGAACACTGGAGTAAACGTTAGCTAGCATTACATTTCTATCTCCCTATGCGCCACTCACCCTGCGAATGAGCTCCCAAAATGCTTCCTGCGGCTCCTGTGCGGCAAGCATGAGTCGATGCGCTTCCAGTCGCAGTTCCTTCAGTATCTCCTTCCTCTGAAAGTCATGACTGCCTGCTGCATGGTTATTCACGGCTAGTAGGTCTTGTTTAATTTGGCATATTCTATCAACAAGGCCGACAATCTCCTCATCCAAAGAGGCTCCATTTGGTTGCTGCATCGTGCGTCGAGGTGAAAATCGTTGGGATTAGGATGTACCCGAGCCACCAGCAACGGGAAATTCGTAGATGTAGTGGGTTTCATCCAGGTGGCTCTGCCAACTGGCCGCCAAGGGCAAATATTCAGCTCGAAGTAAAGCTATTTCCTCGGGGACCGATTCGGCCTCAGTCCGGGATCACCGCTGGAGGCCTCCAGAATTATCAGTCAGAGACTGCTAAGCCTAAAATGTACGCCGTAAAAGATATTCTGGCTTGTGCACAGAGGTACCGAAAGTATGTGGACAATGGATGACCAACAATTATTAGCCAAGTCTTATATAACTGTAAACATCCTCTAGTCTCACCGTGTCCCATCTTTATCCTCCACTGCCATATAATATATGCCCTGTCGTTCCCCTAACGACGTCATCTCCCCTCTCCTCAGGAGACGCAAAACGCATCGCTCATTGAATTTCTGGTACAGACAATGTTGGCTCTCTTTATGAAAAGCACGCACAATATTCATCGTTCAACTAAACTCCCCATCATGAGTCCTTCTGCGCCAACCTTGACGTGAATGTAATCATTGCTTTTGGATCCGGCATGATCTGAAAGTCATAGGAGCTACTAGGCGGCCTGTTCCTATGGCTCCCTAGCCGAAGCTGGAATCGCGAGAGGAGATGAATCACGATCAGTTTAATCTCCGTGGCTGCAAACAACCGTCCAGGACATGCATGGACCCCATACCCCATGTCAGAGACTCCGAACTGGGCGTAAGAAGTTGGTATTTTGATTCACCGGTCCCAGTATTTCTCAGTCGAGCATGACGGAAGCCGTCGAAATCGTCTGGGTTGTGTGATGGCACGGTAGACATATCAAAGCGATTGTTGGCGAATGCGATCAAGGTTCCTTTGGGCAGGAGAGGACCACACGATGGCCGCAAAGATGCTGTTGTCTCACGCATAAGGGTGACTAGAAAGGAAGATTGCCATGAACGGGGGATCGGAGCTGGCAAAGAGAGGGAAGAAACACTGACCTACTCCGCCAGGTGGATTGACATAGAGCGACTCCTTGATGAAACTGTCGAGCTTGCCCATCCTGGCGATATCTGCCAATGTAGTATCCCGTCTCCCGTCTGCTTCGCCCAATACGGACTCGATTTCTTCCAGCAGTGGCGCCTGATACTCAGGCCGCGCGGCCAGATCGATGAGAACCTGGGTCACCGCATTTGTAGCAATATGTATCCCAGCAAACAGGGCTAGGATGTGGTCCTTACAGAGCACTTGCTCCGGGACCTCGGACGGGGAGTCATAGTGTTCGAGGAGCCACGACGCTAGGCGGCCGCGTTCACCGTCCAGGCTCTCCTTAGGGTTGAAAGACCTCTGTTGTTCAGCCAGCAGTCCCTTTAACATTCGACAAATGCGAAGCTGGTGTTCTTGTACTTTTCGGACTCTAGGGAGGAACGGGCCCAGCCATTTACGGATTGCAGCCGGGTAGGCCCGAAGCTGATGTCCAGCTTCCATACTCTCAACCGCATAGTTGATCGAGGAGCTCACCCACTCTTCGCTGCGACTAAGAGGGAGTCCCACGACGGTGCGTCCGGTCAGCAGCGCGATATACCTGAGCATCGTGTTGTAGACCGGAAGTGTCACGCTGGGCGACCGGGGGGAAACGTCAATGACCGTGTCTGTGGCGTGGGCGATTTCCTCTATCAGTTCAGGGATTAAAGCACCAACATTGCGAGTTAGGTTCTGCTTGACTGAAGCTACCAGCTCGTCTGACCTGGTGCCCATGAGAGTATATTCCCCGAAAAAACGGCGATGATTGTTGGCTTCTATGGAGACTCGGGTCTCGGGTAGTGACTTGACCTCATTGATGACACGATGAGGGAGAATCACAGTGGGATCAAGAAGTGACAAGACAAACGGACGATCGGGGAACTATCCAATTGTCAGTAGGACTAGTCTCTTGGCTACACGAATAATCAGTCCGATCTTTCCTACTTTCCTGGTCCCCTCCTCCATGGCGGCTCGAAGGTCGGTACCATCTCTCTCGCCCAAGACAGGCAGGCGATAAAACTCCCTGTAGGCGACTCTATGCCGGATGAGCCGTAGCAGTCGGTAGATAGCATAAAAAGAAAGAGTAAACCTGGTAAAAGTGAGGCATCCCGAGATTGTACCCGACACCTAAGGTTTTGGTTAGAAGTGGCTGATACGTTTCATACTCACTTACTGCAAGGGGGAGAAGTAGCTTGTCCATGGCGATGAAAGTGTGGGCTATGAACACTTGATCATTTATCCAAGTATAAATCCACGATCAGCAATTCACGGTATTGTTTCAGTATGATATGGGATCAATCAGACCACTGCTTATTGACTATCACCGAATCCCAGTCCATTCGGCGTGTCGGAGTCGAGATCGGTCCCCGATCATCATCTTAGCCTGTTGGTTTTGACTAGGAGGAACATCGGACATTCAGACCAATGTTAAAGATAAATATATGCAGGGCACGACATAGTCCACCTTCTCTGTTTCTCCGAATACAGATCTAAGGACAGCACACGTCGTCACTGGCAGAACACCATGGCAGTCTTTACCTCAACCGTCCTAGAGAGAGTACCCGCATATCTCCCCATAGCTGCGGGCTTCCTGGCATTCCTATTCCTATCCCTTCTCTTCTCTCCTCAGCGGATATATAAAGCACATCGGCTGGGAAAGTCTCGCATATTATCGCTGCTGGCAGGGCAGAAGTCGATACGATGGCACATTGATGAACTTGTCGAGCAGGGCTACCTGCAGGTAGATACTCTCTCTTCTTTGGCCTCGTCAGTTAATACTGATACGAACAGGTCAATAAAGCCCTAGAAAAGCCTTTTGTCATCAACTGGTGGGGGCTAGACTGCCTTTTCATGCCGGCCAAGTATCTTGACGACCTTCGCAAGGCGGATTTCGATAGCCTGAGTTTCTTCCAGAGCCTGAGCGATGTAATTGAGGCCTTCCACTCGGAACGACTTGAATCTAAGAGATTTTCTAGGCTTTCCATCTTCAAGCGTCGGTTGGAGACCTGTACAGCACCAACGTAATGATTGATGCGGTCAAAAGACGGCTGAATCCCCAATTACGTTTGTGGCCACCCTTCCCACTCGGTCAAACAGGCATCGTCTGATTGATGGATAGCAAAGGCGATGTCATATCTGGTTGATGAATGTGACCACACATTCCCTGCAGAGCTGGGTGACGCAAAGGGTCCGTGACTTGTGACTCCTGGCTGATTCTCTTCGTCCTAACACAATGGCTAGATTGGAAATCGTACAATGCGCTTCAGATGTGTTCAACATTGATGCACCGCGTGACCAGTCGGATCCTGATCGGGGAGGAAATCTGTCGCGATCCCGAGTATATCAAGCTGTCCATGAAGTTCTCAGAATCCGTGTTCATGAACGGCGTCATGCTCTCGACTCTCTCGCTGGGACCACTCCGCAAGATGGTCTCTTGGATCGGCTCGTTCGGTCACCGCAGGACATTGAACCAGTTAATTCGTCTCTTGGTCCCCGTGATCGAAAAGCGCCTTGAGGAGATGAAGCGCGACCCCGCTGGCCCCAAGCCATTCGACATGGTTCAATTCACGATTGAGCTGGCAAGACCATCGGACAAGGAAAGGACACCGGAGCGAATGGCCCATCAGATCCTTCAGAATCTCTGGGCCGGCAGCGGCGCACCCGGAGGGCTGCTGACACAAATGGTCTATCAGGTCCTCATGTACCCGGAATATCTGGAGTCGATGAGGGAGGAAATCCGCAGCGCCGTTGCCGAGCATGGCTGGACCGACAAGATGCTGAACAACATCCCCCTCGTCGACAGCTTCCTGCGAGAGACAAACCGCCTCTATCCGAACGGCGCTGGTATGTACACTTATCAAGGCGTTCTCGGCACAAAACTAAACTAGGAAATTTAGTAACGGCCGCACGAACCGTCATGGGAAAGCCCTTCCAGTTCCACGACGGAACCACATTGCCTGTTGGCGCGCGGATTGCCTTCCCCTCACGCGCCATTATGTGCGATAGCGCCAACTTCGACAACCCATATCAGTTTGATGGGTTCAGATTTGCACGCCTGGCAAGTCAGAAGGAGTCGTCGTCTGATTCCCGCGAGCAGCTGTATAATTCGGCAACAGTAACCAAGACGAACCTTGCGTAAGCCCATTCTCTGGCTCTTCTTCAAAAATTCTCTCTGACCATTGGCAGATTTGGCTACGGAAAGCACGCTTGCGTGGGCCGCTTCTACGCTGTTCGTAAGGTGAAGCTGGTATTTTGCCGTCTCATGCTAGACTACCTGGTTGAATGGGAAGACAATGTCACAGAGAGACCTCCGAATCTGTGCATTGAGGGCCAGCTGGTGCCTAATCCTGAGCAGAAGATCCGCATCAAACGGAGAGCAGAAACTTGAGGTACAATTAGCGATATCACCTCCGGGAGTAGATTAGGTGGTTGTGGTCGTTTCTGAGCTAGAGAAATAGGCGTATTGGTTTCATGCAATCAAAAAAAGTGAACATGAATTACGTTTGACTTATCCTGTGTCCTTGGACATGGACAACGCAGGTCAGGTTTATGGCAAGAACGTATCGTACTGGTAGATGGAGCGGGGATTACTTAGTCGTTAGTGTGAGACTGTATAGCTACAATGCTATTGCTAAGATGGCACTCGGTGTCCGATAATGCTCTCTCCTAGATTTCCATTTCCGGTTATTGAAGTTCACTGCTATTGTGATCTAATTGAAGAACCTATGCCCCACGAAGTCATGCTTTTGCGACAGGCGACTGCAGTTGAGCCACCAAACCTGACGCACACCACAAGCCGGTGGACGTGGCCTGCGCAACAGCCTTCCCTACAGATCCACAGTCCCCTACAGCAAAGACTCCTGGCACGCTGGTCGTCTCGTAGAAAGGAGGCTTGACCGAGATATCGCCGCCCTGCGTGAGCTGGAGAGAGAGCTGCTGAGCAAAGGGACCGTTCACCTCTGATATGGGCTTGTGGACCTTCAGATTGATGAGTGGGTGTATCATAACAAGATAGGACGGGAGGACTTACCAAGAAAGCCTCCTTGCGAGTACTTCCGTCGTGCAGGTCAACTGTGACACCCTCGTGCCCCGATTCAATATTGATCCTGGCAATCGGTGTTGTGACGAGCTCAAACCCCTCGCGCTTCAAGGGCTCGTTAAGGGTCTGAGACAGTTCTACGGCGCCATCCGTATACACTGTGACCTTCTCCGACAGTCGTCGTGCCATCCGAGCAAGGTGCATGGCCGGGCCCATGTCAGCGCAGTCGCCAATGGCGAGCACGCCGACCGATTCCTGCCCACGTTCTTCCCAGCCATGGCAGAAAAGACAGTGATATCTATGGCAAAGGTCATTGCACATCCCTACAATGGAACAACAGTCCGTCCAGGTAGCGAGACTTACATTCCCTGACCCCAAGCCGCGGCATACCCCTCAATATCAGGAGGTATATCCCGGACGCCGACGGCGAGGACCAATTTACGTCCCTCCCAGACCTGGCCAGCGGCATCGATCGCCTCAAAGGTGCCGTTACCGGTCTGACGGACCTCTTTGATGTCGGTGTTCTGGATCTGGATGGTGTTATAGCGGTTCAGCAATTCTCTCCTGGCCACGGCGCGGAAGTCAGCGGGAGATTGATGGTCCCACGTGGTCACATTGTGCATCCGGCTTGCGGCATCGTTACGGTACTTGTTGGAGTCGAATATCACGGCCGTGTGAAGTTGGCGGGCGAGACCTAGTGCGGTGGACAGGCCTGCCGGGCCGCCGCCGACGATGAGAACGTCAAAGAGCTTTTCCATAACTGGCTGACGCATTGGCAAAGAGGCTTGGTAATGTGTAACTGACTGTAAATTGTACTATTTATCCGAAGAGGGATTTGTCCTCCACAAAGCCCGGCAGTGATCGGGGTGTCACAACGTACGTATCAATATATACCGGTACACCTCAGAGTATAAAAGCCCTTTCGGAGGCCGAGGGGCTACTCGGCCCCTCTCCAAGCTTCGTGGACATAGTTTCGGTCCCATCGATGAGCCGGGAAAGGGAATGCTCTTCCAGAGCTCCCTGACGAGGAACCCGAAACTACTCTTTGTAGACGAGCTACCACCACCGTACTGGGATCATTCAGGCGAGTATCATGATTTCTGAGATTCTAGGCCATTTGTTGGGTCTGGCCGTTGTCAGACTCTTTTTGGGCTTCTTCTTGGGTATTGCTGTGCTGGAGGCGGCATACCCAGGGATCCTCCCACAGCCTTTACTCAATGTGCTTTCCGCACCGATCAATGTTAGTTCCTCCAAAGAGAAAGGCAACAGATGGTTAACATGTATAGGTGTACTTGTCGTGGTGCTATCCCATCAAAAGCGCAGACGGCACAAAGGACTTACCCTCTTGTGCATATCGCTGGCCTAATGGGCAAGGAGACACGGCCAAATTCCTACAAGGGATTGAGAACAGTCCGCGCTGGGAGAAAGCTTTCGGAAGTATCTACCGGATTTGGAGTGGAACCAAGCCTGAGGTGTAAGTCTTTGTACAAGCGCAAGACAGATGAAGGAAGAGAGCTGAGGTCGCATGTAAAGTGTCCTCACACGCCCGGAGCATCTCCAACCGGCCTTTTTCGATTCTGACCAACATATCAAAGCGGTGAATAACAACTCCGGATATCTACTGGGAGAGCTACTAGGAAAATGCGTGGGTCTGATCAGCCCACCACAGTGGCAATCGGTTCGAGCAGTCACCCAACCCCCCTTCTTGTACCCGGCGTGTGTGGCTCATACCGACCGGATTCAAGAGATCGTGCGCTCCTTCTTTCAGGAGCTGGAGCTTGACGACACTGGATCCCTGGCCAGAGGTCTAATTCACCCCGCGCATGACCTGAAGATGCTACCTTTCTGGGTGGTCTGCGAGTTGTTCTACGGACGCTTGCCGTGGCACCTGGTCCAGGAGCTGAAGCGGCTCGCTCCACTGCGGGAGAATCTCATGAAGCATGCAATCCGTGGTGGACTTGCGCGGTTCAGCTGGTCCCGGTATCTGCCTACGCAGGCAAATCGGGAGTTGAAGAATTTCCAGAGCCGCTGGCGACAATTCAACCGGGACGTAGTGGCACAGGCACGAAGGGCCGAGAAACCCGCTCCAATCGCAAAGATGTACGATGCCGTCGATCGAAGGGAGATTAGTGAAGATCAGCTCCTGCAAACGCTGGATGAGGCCCTATTTGCCAACCTCGACGTCACTACCGGCGGCCTCTCGTGGAACCTTGTGTTTTTGGCCGCGCACCCGGATTGCCAGAGGAAGCTTCGAGAGGAAATCACCGAAGCGACAGGATCAGGGAGCCTGAATAAGTATCTTCAAAGCCAGTCAACCTACCTACAAGCATGTATTCTCGAATCCAGCCGTATGAAGCCACTCGCGGCGTTCTCGGTTCCCCAGTCCGCACCGTCAGAGCGGGTAGTCGGAGGATTCCGCATCCCGGCCAGGACGGATTTTATTGTTGATGCCTATGCTCTCAATATTCGCAGTCCCTACTGGGCTCCAGATAACGAGACCTACCGTCCGGAACGGTTTCTTGACCGTAAGAATGTGGAGTTGAGGTATTCATTCTGGAGATTCGGCTTTGGGCCTCGACAGTGAGTTTTCCATCTACGTGGCCTCTTTTTGGCGTTGCTGATTTGCCCGTTCATCTTCTAGGTGTATGGGCAAGTATGCGGCGGATGCCGTGATTCGGACTACGTTGGTATACCTTCTCCTGCAGTATAACCTGTCGTTAATGGAAGAGGGCGATTGGACCCGAGATCAAGAGTCTTGGATTACCCATCCAGACTTCCACCTTTACTGTGTAAAACGGGGCCAGAAAGACTGATTCTCTCGGCGGGCGATGCCTGGGCATCAACACCGGGGTCACCGAGCATAGCGGGGTCCGAGATGCTACATATAGTATATCTGAATTTGACGTGCTCTATTTCTAGTCCAGTAAACGTGCTTGAATTACAGTTTGAATGACTACATCTGAGCATCTACACAATGATCCGGCCGCAGAACAATGGAATCTCGGTTCGCTCTCATGCGGTGGTCGAGGCTATCATGCCCAAGATCAAGGACGCCGTAGCTGAGAGAACCCGCGCAGACAATCCCAATATTGACCTATCGACTGCAGAAAACTGGCTTATCCGCGACGAATTGATCGATATCTGCAGGAGTAGTATCCAGGCGGACCTCACCACCAACGTGAGGAGTGTCCCAAAACCAGTTTAGCAGCCAAGGCTGATATCATCCTGCTGCAGCATCTGTCCTATCCCAATGGTTTCTCTGGAGATCCCAGCATGGTCGATGGCCTCGCAAACTTCCTGAACGAGCATTTTGACCCACATGAGCCCGTACAAGCCGCACATATTGCCACGGCTCCGGGGGCAGCCAGTTGTTTAGATGCATTACTCTACACGATCTGCGACCCCGGAGACGCAGTCCTTGTTCCAGCACCGTATTGGAGTAAGTTACAAAGTAGACCGTTGTCGATGTGTCTCTGGAGTCATACTTATTTCCTATATTTCAGACGGATTCGACTTTCAATTCCGCGTTCGAGCATCTGTCACACCACTACCAGTGAACTGCAGCGGCTTTGCGAGGACCTTCTCTTTGGAGTTATTGGTCGCGTTAGAGGAGGCTATCAAAAACGCCACTTCACCAGTAAAAGCCCTCGTCCTGACAAACCCTCACAATCCATTCGCACAATGCTATCCTCGCGCGGTTATCGAGGCTTGTCTGCAGTTCTGCGAGAGACATGATCTCCACCTGATATCGGACGAAGTATACGCTCTGAGCATATTCGACTCTGCCGACTCAAAGGGCCTCCCTCCCTTCGTCTCGGCGTTATCCCTGAATCCAGCGTCATTAGACTGCGCTCCGCATCGTGTACACGTCATCTGGAGCATAAGCAAGGATTTTGGGTCCAGTGGAATTCGACTGGTACGTTCTTTGCCCCAGTATGCCTCTGCCAGCTGACTCTGATGGAATGCCACAGGGATGCACTGTCTCCCAACGCAACCCCAAGGTAATTGTTGGAGTCTCCCTAGCGTCGAACACACAGACTTCCTCACTTGCAGCCATTTTCACCCAGAATCTGCTGTGCTCCCCTCTTACTCCCCGGTTGATGCGACTCAACAGGGAGAGGCTGTCACACGCTTACTCCATACTCACTGGGTGGATGAAGGAAAACGGATTCGCATACATCCCAGCCAATGCAGGAATCTTTGTTTTTGCCCGATTGGGCAAAACAGTTACGAGCTGGGACGAGGAGAAGGAGCTGGTTCTACGGTGCAAAGCGGCAGGCGTGCTGGTAAGCGCAGGACAGGCCTACCATGGCATTGAGTCGGAGAAGGGATGGGTGCGAATTACATTTGCAGTCAAGCCAGAAGTGCTGCTTGAGGGTCTGAATCGGCTGGCATTAGCCCTGGGCGTGCGGCCTCCATCGGCCCAGTAGAGCGATCGCGTTGCATCAAGCCCGGTTTAGGAATTTGATCTCTCATTACAAGCATTTTCAGTGTAGGTATAATCGGGGATCGAGAATATCCATCAAAGAAAATATCGGGCCCCGACGGCTGCTTAACCCTTGTACCCAGCTGTAGAGGTATATTTAAAGCTGTAGATGTACTAAGATGACCCCGATATGCTTGCAAGCCTCGCACCTGTATTACTCGGCCGACGTACGTTAACTATGGAATATGTCCTGGAAAGCCTGAATGGCCATCTGGACTCTGTCCACGATCTCCTCCGGGGTAAGCTCCGTGACGAGCTTCATTCACGTCTCCATAACCGGCAACGTGGAGTGCTCCCGGACAAGGAGTTGAGCACTCTGTCGGCCAGGACTATTGATCTTTTACACTCAATTGAGCAGATGCTCGAGCCTGGTCCACTTGTTCTCGCTGACCATTTCCTCGGTAAGCTGAGAGCCAAATTCCTGAAAGAACAACTCACTAACTGGAATTCAACATGAGGCTACATGAGCACAAAATGTCTCTGTGCAGCTGTAGAGCTCAAAATCGCTGATATCCTCCGCGACAAGGGCCCGTTGACAATAAATAAGCTAGCCGAGGAGAGCGGTGCGCGTGCAGACCGGCTGGAACAGATCATGAATGTTTTGCAGAACAACGGCATCTTCGAGCGTGACCCGGCTATGGTGACATACGCAAATAATCACACTTCCACGCTCCTGCTGCGCGATCACTGGATGCAATGGCATAACTGGGTGGACCTTTACGGCAACCAGTTCTACGACATGGCCCGAGGAATTCCCCAATCCGTATGCAAGGACACCACACGCTCGCCAGCACAGATCAACTACGATACCGACAAGGATATGTTCACCTACTTCAACGAGCAAGGCTGGGTGCCTCAGCTGCATCGCACCCTGGGCGCTGGTACCACTGCTCAAGCACCTGGTATCCTGGCCGACTATCCATGGGAAGAGGTGGCCAAGGAAACTGTCATCGATATCGGCGGGGGCGGCGGCTCTCTGATCGCGCTGCTCCTACGAGCGCATCCGACAATGAAGGGCGGCATCTACGACCTGCCGCATGTTATCGAGCACTCCACCCTTTTCTTCCATGCTCCAGATGGACAGTTTGCCGATCTGGCTGACCAAGTGCCCCAGGGGAATCTCATCGGAGGGGACTTCTTCAAGAACATCCCTCCGTCCCGAGTCTACACGATAAAATGGACTCTCCATGACTGGAGAGACCCCGAGGCCCTGGCGATCTTGCGCAATATTCGGAAAGCCATTGTTCCTGGGGAGACAAGTCGGCTCATTGTTATGGACTGCATTAGGGCGGATGGGCGCTCTTCGCGTCTCTCGCGGTATGCCGACTTGAACATGATGATAGCTGCCAACGGGCTGGAACGGACAGAAGCTTCATGGAGGGATTTGGCGAAGCAGAGTGGCTGGAGGATTGAGGGCATCTATCCCTTGCGGAATGCGTGGCCCTGCGCTATTGACATGCGGCCCGACAATGTTCAGCTGAACGGTGTATGAGTCTCAAAAACTCAGTGCTAGCTGATTTAATTTATACCTACAGATTATGTGCATTTTGGATAGTAGAATATGTTGTGAGTGTGCATTCGAGAATGGCTTCTACGAGGGGGACTCTGGAGACGAGAGTGCATGACAGTAGCTAACTCCTAAACACTGAATAGCCAAACCGAATGAATATAGCTCTCGAAATAAGATAGCCAATAACAGATGAGTAGACAGAAACAGCACCTCCTGTTCTTGTTGCATATGATCAGGCTGGGACTAGTTTGTGCAGATCATCAGACAGGGATCGGTCACCGATCCCTGTTCACTTCGGAACTTCCACGGTGACTTTTCAAGCGCACTTTGACTTTTCCTCCCTTGACTTATGAGACTATGGTTTCGTTCTTTCGAAAGGGAAGCTCTACTCTTCTGCACGTTGAACATTACTTTTCCTTATCGTGTCGACGAGCGTGAGGTAGCATCATGGCGGACCACGCATCTGGTGACGAGACATCTCGTGATGAGAAGCATGAGCTTCCATCGCCTATGGGAAGCGACTCAACTGATACTGCTCCGGAGCCCATGGGGTGGCCATACTGGGTGCTTTTCCTGACTCTCTGCCTCAGCGGCTTCGCTGTGACCATGGAAGGCAGTATCGTGGTCACGGCATTGCCGAACATTTCCCGCTCGCTCGATACGACGCAATACGTCTGGGTCACAAACAGCTACACATTGGCATCGACGATCTTTCAACCGCTCGTGGGCTGGCTGGCCGAGGTATTTGGCCGCAAACCCATCATGCTGGGCAGCCTCGTCTTCTTCGCTGTCGGGAGCGCCGTCGCCGGGGCCGCGCACTCACTGGCGACAATTCTGGTCGGACGATTGATACAAGGAATCGGAGGCGGTGCTATTCCCCTGGTGGCCGAGCTGGTCATCAGCGATATCGTGCCGTTGCCACAGCGGCCGAAGATGCTGGGCATGGTGATGGCCACGTCGTGTCTGGGCCTATTGCTCGGCCCCGTCTTTGGCGGAGTGATCGTCGACCATAGTACCTGGCGCTGGATCTTCTGGATGAATCTCCCCATTGCCGGAGCCGCCATTGTATTCTTGTTTCCCATGCTTGGACGACGGACGGCAGAGCAGCGAGATGCAGCGACCTCCCTGCGAGCCACAGCCCGCCGATTCGACTGGCTGGGTAATTTCCTGCTCCCCGCTGCCAGTATCGCCATCCTGCTGCCCCTGACGATGGGGGGAAAGATGTACCCCTGGGACTCGGCTCGAATCATCGCACCACTGGTGATTGGATTCTGCGGGTTTGTGGGATTCTCGGTGTATGAGCATTACTTCTGTGCACACCCACTCATTCCCCTCCGACTTCTGCGCAAGCTCTCAGCGGTCTCCCTGCAAGCACAGAATTTTATCCAGAGCATGCTCATCATGTGGGTCAACTATTTCCTCACCATTTACTTCCAGGCTGTCCTGGAGCTATCTCCGCAGCGAGCAGGATTCGATCTCATGCCCACAATTGTCGGCATGGTAGTCTTCTCCATTGTTGGCGGTATAGTGGCGTCCCTGCTCCCCGGTCCGCTGGCGATCCTGATCAACGTGCTCGCCTTTTCCCTCATGGCTGTTGGCCTCGGTGTATTCACCACGCTCTCAGCCTCCTCGTCGACCGCCGTCCATGCCGTGCTCCAGATCGTCGTCGCCGCAGGGAACGGACTACTGCTCGCCACGCTGTTGCCCGCTATACAGGCGCAGTTTGACCCGGCGGATCTGACGACGGTGACTGCGCTCTTTAATTTCATTCGCAGTTTTGCGCTTGTCTGGGGAATGACCATCCCGTCTATTATTTTCGACCACACTGTTGACAACCATCTGGATGACGTGCCGGTGTCAGAGCGCGGGATGCTGCAGGGCGGAGGAGCGTATGTCAGGGCTAGCAAGGCCTTTGTGCAATCCTTCCCAGGCGTGACCAAAAGCCAAGTAATCGCTCTGTATGAAACTGGGCTCCGCACGACGTGGTGGGGAGCAATGGCGTTTGCACTTCTAGGGCTAGTGCTGGTGGCTCTGCAGCGGCCTCCAAAGAGCAGTCAGGGCACACTAAAGACGAGTCCAGAAAGGGACACAGAGAAGGCTGTCGATACAGATTCGTGATGTATACTCGAGTGTTAGTCCTACAGCCACCGTTATACTCTGCTCCAATTCACAAAAGTAAGCCATTCTATTGCCTGGAGCCGAGCAATAGTCGGTCACCGAGGCGACGGGGCCTTCCTCGTACTTAATCTAGACCAACCAACCTAATAGGAGACGTCAGTTATCTCTCATCAAACTAAACAGAAGCTGTTCCATTCGTGTCATAAAGAGCAGACATGGCAATCGACACTGTGACCGATCAATCCCAACAGAACCGTGGCAAAGTCATCATTGGTGATGCCCCAGCTGATGACCGTGTCGTCCTCTACATCATTAAAGGCAGGACAAACGATCAGACATGAGAGAAAAAGGCTGACCTGCTTGTCCCAGCGGACGAGACCTCCTACATTAACTACATCAAGCCCCTTATCCTAGCCAAAGAGCTCCAGATCCCGCACGTTCTCTCGCTCATCGACACCACTTCCCAATGGGCCTACAAAATCCATCCGGAGCGGATGGTCCCCGCGCTCAAAGACCAGGACCCCGAAACAGGCGAACAGATCAATGTCTTCGAGGGAACCGCTTGTCTTCAGTACTTGGCCGATCGATATGATGCCGAGGGAGAATGGAAAGGGCGCACCGCCGCTGAGAGAGCCGCCGTCTTCACCTGGGTGGCATACCAGACCGCGGGAATCGGGTGAGTTCGTATGGCAACAACAGGCATTGACGAGTAGCTGAAAAATGCACAGTCCCACTGCCAAATACTGGCTCTACTTTCTGCGTGGTTACCCGACTCGCAAGGACCCGGTCCAGCTGCCCAAGACCATTGCGAAACTGCACGAAAACACTCTGAAGCAATGGGACATTTTGAATAAGCGCCTTGCGAAGGAGGGACAGAACTACATTGCCCTCCCGGATCGGCCGACCCTAGCGGATCTGTCCTACTTTCCCTTCGCCATGCCGTGGATGTTTACGTTCCTCGGTGTGGATATCAAGGACTGGCCGCATATTCAGGCGTGGGCGGAGCGGATGTTGGCCCGCCCGGCTATCCAGGAGATCATGGCCAGAGCAAAGACATTTGGACATGATATGACGCAGGAGCAGGCGGCGATGCTGAAGTCTGCGGAATAGACGAGCTATGAGCAGAGTGATTGAAATCGTGCCACTCAGTGGAATCGGGAGCCGGTCAGTGAACGGGGACCGATCAATGTACGTATCTAGCATATAAGTGCAACCATAATGGACACGAACGTATCCTATCTATCACTTATACATCTCCCGAGCAGCAAAAAAAAAAGAGTATCTTTTCGGTCACAAACTACCCAACCATGGCAACATACACCTCAGTCATGCGGTTCATCGAACCGTGGTCCCAGAACAAGGGAGTACCCTTCATCAGGACCAATGCCCCCCCGGGATACGACTACATGAACTTCGAATGGGTCGACTGTCCAGTTCAGATTACGGATGCACGGCCGACAAAGGACAGCTTCACCCTTGACCAGCATGGATTCGCCTACAGGGACGACCCGGAAAGCGCAACGCCGGAGATACTGCAGCTTCTCCGCGACAACAACGACGCAGAGAAAATCCGCAAGGTGTACTATTCCCACATCGAGCAGCTCGTCAAGAGGGAGACGGGTGCCTCCCGGGTGATCATCTTTGACCATACCTCTCGCAAACGACGTCCGGAATTGGGCACTTATGAGAACCCGACAGGAAAGGAGCAACCAGCAACGATGGTGCGTTTGTCTCTTAGCTGTTGCCGAGGATGAGGTACTGACGCTGTGATCCCAAGGTGCACTGTGACCAGTGAGTGTAAACAAGGGGAGTAGCAGAGCGAAACTTGGCTGAGAGGCGGACATAGATCGACAAAAGGCGCTCTCCGCCGATTGCAGCAGAACGTCCCCGATCATATCGAGGTCCTCAAGAACCGGGTGATTATGATCAAGTAAGTCTCCCGCGATGAGTGGCAAAGAATAAAATCTACGGCCCTGATACGAACTCGGCGGCAGTATCTGGCGCCCTCTCCGCGGCCCCGTACGGGATTGGCCCCTCGCCACGATGGACTATCGCACTTGTGATCGAAACCTGATCTATCCGACGGATTTGCTTGACAAAGCCGACGACTATCGCGGCCAGACCGTCACGTTTGGCCACGCGGATGAGCAGCGGTGGTACTACTTGGACCATCAACGGACGGATGAGGTGACCATGATTAAGATCTGGGATAATCAGGAGGGAGTTGAAGCTAAGCGTACGTTCTCTAAGTGACTGACTGGCACTTGCCGGAGAAAGCTGATCTAGCACTGATTTGGTTGTTCCAGTGTGCCCTCATGCCGCGTTCAAGCACCCAGAAACGCCTGCAGACGCGCCTCCCCGCGAAAGCATCGAGGTGCGGTGCTTTGCTCTGTTTGACGAAGCAGCAGATGGATGCCGACACGTGTAACCCGTTTCGGTGGCCGGTCGGTCCGCTGGTGCTGGGATCGCTGTCTCCATGTTGCCTGTGAAGTTATGTGTAGTAGACTGAGTAGATGAGGATAGTGGTCTAGTACTTACCACGTCCATCAACTGCTGGTAATGGATACTGAAAAGAACCCCTGGAATGAATCACAGATCCGTACTCTCCGGTCGACTCACAGACCCGGTTGGATAAGATTGCTGGCCATAACTGTTGTACTTGCACTTGTCTTTGGGGCTCAAATCGTTACAAACGGAGTCTGCTTACGGCAGTCACCAACTGTAGAAGATGTCCTTCGTCAGGCTCCTCTGATAGGTAATCCCTGGCGAGATCTGTTACCTGTACCTGTGGAGTGGTTGGCTGACAGTGTAGACGGGCATAATGACTTTCCAATCTGGATCCGAGCGTTCTACCAGAATCGCATCTATCAACGAAACTTCACATACGATGGCCCACTCTTCGGACAGGTGGATTTCCCCCGTCTTGCTCAGGGCCGTTTGCGAGGCCAATTCTGGAGTGTTTATGTGGAATGGTAGAGCTTTTCCCCCCTCCGCCAGCGAGCAAATAGCTGACAACCAGACGCGCAGCCCAAAGGCAGCCAATGATTATTCTGACGAGACGTATTTTGAGATACAACGAGACACACTGCAACAGATTGACCTGGTTAGTCGGCTAATCCGCGCTGAGCCCGATATGTTAGCACTGGTCCACTCCAGCGCCGACGTATGGGAGACATTCAGCAATCAGCCGACCCGTATCGCCAGCGTCATGGGCATCGAAGGCCTCCACCAGATCGCCAACAGTGCCAGCATTCTCCGTCTATACCACAGTTTAGGCGTGCGATATGCCACACTGACACACGAATGCCACAATGCCTTCGCCGACAGCGCCACCCCGGCCCGACCACTCCACAACGGACTTTCTGAGGCAGGACGCATACTAGTCGGCGAGATGAACCGCCTGGGAATGATCGTGGATCTGGCGCACGTCAGCTACGAGACGATGCTCGCCGCCCTGGACGTGACGACCGCGCCTGTCATCTTCTCGCATTCCTCCGCCTACGCGTTATGCCCACATGAGCGGAATGTACCGGACGACATACTCTGGAAACTGAAAAGGAACGACGGAGTCGTCATGGTTAGCTTCTACCCGTCCTACACGCGGTGCGACGACCCGGACCGCGCCACCATTGAGGATGTCGCCGATCATATCCAGTACATTGGCGAGTTGATCGGCTACCGGCATGTCGGACTGGGGTCGGATTTTGATGGAATGCCGTCGGGGATCAGGGGGCTGGAAGATGTCAGTAAGTATCCAGATCTCATCAGTGCCCTGCTCCGTCGGGGAGTGGGTGTAAAGGAGCTGGCTGGAGTGGTCGGGGCAATGTTCTGCGGGTTTTACGGGCCGTGGAGGATGAGGCTGCAACACGGGCTGACGAATTGCCTCTCGAGGATGATGTGAAGCCATTCTTCTCTTGGATATGATACGTAAGCGTATAAGGTTGGCCAGTAGAATTGCTGTAGACTAGTTCATGCTATCCTAGGTACTGTTTCTCTGCTTCAACCAACACATCAACGGTGGCTTGACAAACATGACATAGACATCCTGATTAGCAGCCCAATCCCGACTGTCTGGTGCCAGCTGGACATCAAAGTTCCACACTAGTCGAGCAATTACACTTCTCGCAAAAGCCAACGCCATGCTCTTCCCCAGGCAATTCCTCGGCCCCGTCGAGAACGGCTGATGCGCCTTCTTGTCGTCTCGTTCAAATCGGGGATCAGGTTCTGCTAACCACCGCTCCGGATGGAACTCACTCGCGCGCGCAAAGTTCTTCTCACTCAGCGCGGCCGCATATCCGTTCACACCCACGGCGTAGTCACCTGGGACAAAGCGGCCACAGATCGTGGCGCCCCTTGCGGGAGTCCGTCGGGGGAACGTAGTGGGAACGACGACGTAAATGCGCAGAGCTTCTTCAATGACAGCGTTGAGGAAGGGTAGCTTCTGAAGACGGGTGAAAGTCATCTCCGATTCTTGGGTGACAGAACCGCGAATCTCGTTTGCCAGCCGAGACCAGATCATGGGGTCTCGTAGCGCATAGAAGAGACAGCCGCAAATTAGGGTGGCGTTGGTGTCGCTGCCGGCTGTCATGAAGATGGAGGAGGCGATTTCCAGCTCTGGGATTGTCATGCCGTCTTTTTCGGAGTTTTCGCGGAGGAGGTGGGTGACTAGAGATGAAATCAGAATTAGTTCTCTGTGTCTGGGTGGATATATATATAGAAAGAGTTACCGAAATCTTCTCTTCCCGTGCCGGCAGCGATACGCTCGCCAGCCATTCGCCTAGTCACCTGGAACTGCTCCATCCAGACCCGTCCTATCCGAGCCAACACCAGATTGACAAGAGCGTTTCGTGATATAAAGGCAGGCAGACGGCGCCATGCTTGAACATACAGCCCCTGCTTGACATGGCCGCTGGTCAACCGGACCCAGGGATGCAGCTCTCCGTTGACCGTGTTCTCCAGACACCCGACGGACTTGCCAAAGGACAGGTCCAAAATGACGTCCATGGCCGTGCTGGTGAACCAGGGAACCATATCAATCGGCTGGTCGATGGGAAGCTTGCGAAGACGGCGAATGAGGAGCCCAACGTAGGAAGTGATCAATGGTTCCTGACGGGCCAGCGCTCTGTCGGAGAAGGCATGGACCATGATTCCCCTCAATCGGCCGTGATCTTTGTTTTCTGCTGTGACCTGACAAAGCAACTCAGAACGCAAACTCGAATCAGCAGGATGGATGGATACCTACAATGACAGGCACGGAATTTATTGACTGAGAATACCATGTCTTGTCCTTCTCCAAACCGCTGCGCAGATCGTTGTCTCGCCATACTGGAGCCGGTGGTTAGTTTCATGCTTTCAGCCCCCGGGAATTGAGCCCATACCATGGACATCGTGATAAGCGCGACTGGAATTGTAAGACAGCTCATCTGGAGCCACCCGGACGACCTCGCCATAGGTGTTGTGCCAGTCGAGAGTCTTGTATGGGAGATCACCGGCCAGTTGGTGATAGATATAATGCAACCGTGTGGCGCGGCTGAGCCATGGACCAGGATATGACGCCAGGGGGTGGAAGAAGAAGTTGTAGACGCATTTTCCGATGAAGAAAAGTATCTGAATATTATATTAAATTAATCGGTAATTGACAGGAGGAAGAGCTCATTATACTTACTCCGGCAAAGATGCTACCCCCGGCAGCAAAAATCAAGCCCTTGAAACTCCAAATTGTAAAGGAAATCGCCATGGCGCTTGTTTATGGTCTAGATTCTACCTTCTTTATTAGGTTATCCCGGCTTTTGCTTAGGTTATTATAGTGGGATAGCTAACATCGGCCACCGACAGCGGCCAAAAAGGGCTATTTCGTATTTCGGACTCCGTACATAGCATCTCCATGGCTTGTTATAATACGATATGCCCGTTCGTTTGTTGCTGTGAACCCTGCACGGAAGGAAAACGTCGATCTAATTGATGACCAAGAGGACAATATGCTTTCTGAGGAAAAGAAGGCCAGCATTTTGCATAGGATTATATCCTCCTGCCGCCTGCATGGCCCGTCCATGACGGCCGCAAATACATGGATCAACGAAGACATTCGCCCACTACCACCCTCTCGCCGACGATGGAGCGGTATGACATACCTGGGGTGGTGGGCCGTCTGGATGATGGGTTTGAGTAACTTCCAGCTGGGCTCGTCCTTGGTGGCCATCGGTCTCTCTGTATGGCAGGCGATGGTGGCCATTATCCTTGGCCGGATTCTCCTTGCCACCGTTGCCATCTTGAATGGAGCAGTCGGTGGACGATGGCACATTGGCTTTCCTGTCTTTTCTCGCATCGTCTGGGGAATGAGAGTCAGTTACAGAAGCTCCAACCGCCCCCTAACGAACAGCACCAACTGATTGCTCGCAGGGTTCATACGGCGCGATCCTCCTCCGCATTCTCCTGGGACTTGTTGGATTTGCGGTGCAGTCCTGGAACGGGGGCCTATGTATTACTGCCGTGCTCAGCGCCATATTCCCCTCGTATTTGCACCTCCGTAACACCATCCCGGAGTCTTCTCATGTCACCACGGCCCAGCTGGTGAGCTGGATCGTCTTCCTTGCCCTATGCGTTCCGCTCATCTACGTGCGCCCTGAGCGCGCCCCAAAGGCCATGGCAGTGATGAATATGCTGACGCTGATCACAATCCTCGCGATCCTGATCTGGGCTTTGGCCACCGCGCATGGAGCTGGACCGTTGCTTTCTCAGCCCGGTATACCGATGACATCTTCCCAGTTGGGCTGGTCAATGCTAGGAGGAATCAATGCTGTAATTGGCACAGTGGCGCCAGCTTTGAGTACGTCTTTACCATTTCTAGAGAACAAGGATAAGAGCCTCCCCCGCTGACCACAAAACCCTACAGTGAGCCAGCCTGATTTTTCCCGCTTTGCCAGACGAGAGCGCGACCAGATCTGGGGACAGGCCGTGGCGTTCATCCTAGTCGGCACCATCATGCCACTGTTTGGCTGTCTTGTGTCCTCTGCCACGCAGCAGATCTACGGCGAAGCCATTTGGAACCCGCCAGTCCTCGTTCTCACCTGGTTGACGAACGGCCAGTACCGCTCCTCGACGAGAGCCGCGGCCGCATTTGCAGGACTGGGCCTTACCATCAGCCAACTGGCAGTGGTGGTAGTCGATAATGCGTACTCGGTGGGAATCGACCTCTGCGGTTTGTTCCCGGCTTTCCTGAATATTCGGCGCGGCGCGTATCTGGGACTGGCGCTGGGAATGGCCTTCTGCCCCTGGGAACTGTTGTCCACCGCGTCGATCTTCCTCATGGTGATTTCCGGGTTCACCGTATTCTTCGGGCCCATCTGCGGAATCCAGGTGGCCGATTACTGGGTCCTACGACGGCAGCGCATCAAGCTCTCCGATCTCTATAGTATCAAGCGCGAGGGAGTATACTACTATGTATACGGGGTGAACTGGCGCGCGTTCGTGGCGTGGGCTGTCGGCTTTGCGCCTCTCATGCCTGGCTTTATACATGCGGTGCAGCCTCGGATTACCTTAAAAACCGACGTGGGGTACCTCTACCAGATTGCCTTTGTGTTGGGGTTCTGCATCAGCTTTGTAACCCATTGCGCTCTTAATGTGGTCTTTCCGCCTCGGGGGCTTGGTGAGATGGACCATGATGATCGGTTTGGGACGTTTACAACTGTGGAGGCGCGGGCGCTTGGAATTGACGCAGATAGTGCATCTCCATCCATCATTCCTGTTTCTGATAGTAACCAAGAGGAATCGGTGGATCTTGAGGGAAGCAAAGGGTGGTCGTAAGGACGAGCCTGGGACATGGACAGCATGACGAATAGAGGAAGATTCTGAGATAGACAATTCCCTTCATCTCGTATTCAAGAGCCCGGTCACCGTCTCGGACCCCGATGTCCTCCTTGAAAAAGAAGAACTCACAGATTAACGAGACTCTTAAACCTTGCATTTTCACTCAAGTACTGCTGCTCTGCATCTGTCCCTCGACTCAAACACACCGTACCATCGATTGTAACTCCAGTCACCATGGCGATGGAAGCTGCGATCCCGTTTCACTACCAGAAAAATGTCAACGAGACCATATGCACCTACCGCCAGCTAGGCAAAAGCGGGCTCAAAGTCTCCGTCCCCATCCTGGGGTGTATGGGGTTTGGCCGGAAGGACTGGGTGTGGGACTGGGTGCTGGAGGAAGAGGAGTCGATGAAAATGCTCAAGGCCGCATGGGACCGGGGCATCAACACCTGGGATACAGCGAATATATTTTCAAACGGAGACAGCGAGAAAATCATCGGCAAGGCGCTGAGGAAGTATGAGATTCCGCGGCATAAAGTGGTGATCATCACCAAAGTATTCTGTACGGTTGGAGAGCATGCCGATAATGCCATGGCATATGCAGGGCCACTCAGGGGAACGAAGGAATACGTCAATCAGTCTGGTATGCTCTCTCTCTCTCTCTTCTCCTGTGCTGAGAGAAACGTTCTAACCGGCGATGTGTAGGTCTTTCTCGTCAATCTATCTTTCGAAATGTCCAGGCTAGTCTCGACCGCCTGCAAACGGACTACATCGATGTTCTGATGATCCACCGCTGCGATGACAGAGTCCCATACGAGGAGACCATGGAAGCCCTCAACGATCTCGTGCGAGCAGGAAAAGTGCGGTACCTCGGGGCCAGCTCCATGTGGACGTACCAGTTTGTCCAGATGCAGGTTTGCGCGGAACGCCACGGCTGGACCAAGTTTATCTGCATGGAGAACCACTACAGTCTGCTCTACCGTGAAGAGGAGCGCGAGATGAACAAATTCTGCGATCAGACCGGGGTAGGGATCATCCCTTGGGCCCCTCTGTGCCGGGGTTTTCTGGCCCGTCGATTGCAGGATAGTCTGTCTGGCACCACGGGACGAGCGCAGGACGAGCTGGTGAATGGGTCGCGGTATATCGGTGTGCGTGAGGACCCCGATCACAAGATCATCCGCCGGGTAGAGGAACTGGCTAATCGGAAGGGCTGGATGATGGTCGATGTGGCGCTGGCCTGGCTGAACAAGCGGGTGACCAGTCCGGTGGTGGGCATGCGGTTGGAGAACATGCTTGATGAGGTGGCTGCGGCCTGTAAGAAGACTTTGACTACGGAAGAAGAGAAGTATCTGGAGGAACTGTACCAGCCCAGGGCGATTTCAGGACATGCCTAGACATCATTTGTGGTGGTTATCGGATACATATATGCAGGAAACGACGATTTCAATTTCTAGCAGTGAAGAGTAGAAACATGATCGGCTTAGATACTTGCAGGGAGCTCGCGTGCTACACCATTTCCTGCACACACCCCTGCCGCAATGGCCATGGAAGCGTTTTTGAAAGGAGAGGCACAATCCCCAGCAGCGTAGACGCCAGGGACGCTGGTGGCCGGGAACGGATGCTCCACACGGATATCGCCCATGGGTGTTGTCTCGACTCCCAGCTGCGCGGGCAGAGTTCCTCGCAGTTGAGTCCATGGCTGATGCACGAGAAATCCCTCTTTCCTCTCATCGCCACCCTCCAGTTCGACCGTAACCTCCGCTCTCTCCGGCCCTTTGCGTAAACCCTGGATGTTCCGAGCTTCAATCGACAGGTAGTCAACCTCCTTGATGAGTTCCTGGAGCTGTGCCGTCACTTTCTCCTTTCCGTTGGTATACAGGACAACCTGGGGGGCGAACTTGCGTGTATCGCCGGCCAGCTTTACCACCTGGGGAAGCACCGAGGCCAATTTATCTACGACCAAGATCCCCGCGGACGCGCAGCCTCGCTCTTCGTACCCGAACTGGAACATGCACGGAAAGATTCCCGTCACCCAGCAGTCCTTGTATCCGGGAATATCAGGATAGATCTCGTCCGTTCCCGTTGCGAGCACCACCTTCCGGCCGTGGTATTCTTGCCCATTGCTAGCTGTCACCCGCCACTCGTAGTCCTGTCCTTGCTGCTTTGCAATCGTGGTCACTTGCGCATTGACGAAGAAACATAGACCAGTGTTTTCCAGCTCTGCACGGGCTGCTTGCCTGTACTTTGAGGATACCGTACCATCCCAGCCGGGCAGCAGTCGAACGTGTGGTGCCTTGTCGTCTCGAAATAGGCCAGAGTCAAAGACGATGGTAGAGTGAGTGGCCCGGTAGAGAGTCGATGCTGCAGCCAAGCCAGCATATCCTCCCCCGATAATGAGTACATCGGCTGTAGGTGTTGAGGAGGGAGACATTATCAATGATTCGAACTAGACGGTGATATTCGTGACAGGATAGTCCGCTTGTTGTGTTTGTATTATGGAAATATGTAGTAGAAATATATTTATATTCGCACCTCGGCTCCGTGCATCGGCCCCCGAACTGCACTGACCGACCACCACAGGCATATATCGTGAACCACAAGTCACCAAGAGTCATTATTATAAGTTTTGATGTACTTTGAGGTATCTACCAATCTATCAAGCTACAGCCATGAACGCTCCGAACGACAAGCTCCATTCGGCCAAAATGTACGATGAGCGCAACGCCATGCTAACCCCAGCCGATGGCTCCATTGTGCCGCATATCCTGCTCTTTCTCGTGCAGATGGCAGCGCTGAGCTCGCCACCTTTCCGAAACCGCAAGACTGTATTTTCAGGCGCTATCGTCATCCTCGCCGTCCTTGCGAACGTCAACCGGTTCACAGACGATCCCAAGCTGGCACAATTCTTCTCCCTCGCATGGCCCCATTACCTTAACGTGCTGGAAAAGCTGCTCACTTCCCCCAGTCCCGGTCCAGAGGCGGCGTTCTGGCGAGTGGATCGCCCAGCACAGGAGGCCATGAGCTTTGCGCCCTTCGGTTTCTCCAAGCTCGTCTGGGCGTTTGTTATTTGGTTCAATCTGCGAGGCATTCGGTGGAACTACCAGGTCGCAAATATCTCAGCAGAACCCTTAGGGAGGAGTCCGGCGAAGTGGCGGTTTCTGGCAGATCGTGTGCTGACCTTCATCCGGTTGCTCTGCATGGCCGAGGTGCTGAGCCACCTGGCTATCCTCAACTTCTACACGACGGCCCATGGAGGCCCCGTCGATAGCCGCACGCTGACCACGCGGCATCCCAACTTTGCCTGTCAGTTGTACCGGACTGTGACTGTGGGAATGATCCCGTACACATTCATGAATCTGCAGTATGTCGGAGGAGCCATCCTCTGGGTTGTGCTGGGAATCAGCCAACCGGAGGACTGGCCGCCATTCTTTGGCTGCCTGTCGCAGGTTACGACTGTTCGGGCTTTCTGGGGGAAATACTGGCATCAGATGATTCGACGAGTAAGCAGTGCTTGTTTCAATTTGGCGAAAAAGAGCCCGGGAACTGACGGGGAAACAGACAGTGAATGTGTACACAGGATTTTTCTGTGATTTGCTGCATCTCCGACCCGGAACCATTCGCAAGTACATTCGTCTCTGGCTATCCTTTGCCATCAGCGGCGTTATGCACTGGTCTGCTATTTACATCATCCCCGCGCCGATGAACCTCAGCTTCAGCGAGCGCAGTGTAGGCTTTGTGAAATTCTTCCTTCTACAGGCGGCGGCTATCACCCTGGAAGATTTCGTACAGTTTCTGTATCAGCGAATAGCCCCGGCAATGGCTACGACGTCCCTACGATGGCATCGATGGCTGGGACATGCGTGGGCAGTTTTTTGGTTTGGTTTCTCGCTGCCCTTTTTCCTCGATATCATGCTGAAGATGAAGAACCTGGAGGAACCCCTTCTTCCGGGCACTGTGATGAGGCCATTGGTGCCGTATCTTGCGGCGTGTGCCACTTGAACATATTGATCAGTCTATATGGGGACGTGTCTGATAGCCTGTAAGCTTTGAGGTCCTACTGTCTAGGGGTTATCTAGTTTTAGGCCATTCCCTTCCCCTCTCTGACAACTTCATGCGCACTCCCTTAGACCCTGCCTTGACCGCGCCCATCAGATTATCCCGTACGATATCCACATCCTCTCTCGTAGTCTCGAACAGCTCCATGTCATAACGCAGTACCAAGGCGGCCAACGCGCGGTAGATGACAGCACTTGCCAGACTAGATAAGAAACTCGTCAGAACTCACGCATCATCATCATGTCAAAAAAGGGTTATGCGTACTTGATACCAATACACATCCGACTTCCACGACCAAATGGCAGCAGATACCGGTCCAATGGATTCCCCGCCGCTGCAGCCGCATCCCACCGGCCTGGATCGAACCGTCTAGGATTAGGAAAGATAGAGGGGTCCAAATGCGTGAAGTGATGGTCCATGCTGACTGGTGTTCCAGGGGGATACTCCAATCCTTGTACTGGAGAACCTCATCTGGGGCAGTACGAGCTAGTCGGCCCGTGACGGAGGATGTGACCCTCATTCCTTCCATGACGATGTGACGCTGTCGTAGATATTCTATTAGTAAATCCTTATCTTCTCAACGTTTCTGAGGGGCCTGGAGGGCATACAAGATACGGCAGCTGCTCGAGCGCTGTCCAGGACAACTGGCCCTGATTCTCCTCCAGCAGCTTTTCCAGCTGCGCTCGCAGCTCTTGCAGGATAGGAGGATTGTCCACAAGATGGTACAGCGTCGACGCAAGGGTCTGCGCTGTGCTTTCCGTGGCCGCCATGACGAAACTAAAGCCTTCCGCAGACAGTCGGTCTTCGCTCTTTTCACCCGTGGGAAGGGCGCTGGATCGCAAAGTGCGCAGGACGGACGGCTTTTCGGATCGCATGGCGGAGGATGCTATATTCGCAGAAGACTTGGAGAAGCTTAGCTGGGTCTGTACCTTCACTGCCCTCCGGGAAAATAACGAACCTCTTGCAGATTGAAAATAAACGCAAAATCCGGCCGCCCCTTGACGACGCGCGAAGGCAACAGGCCAAATAGCAGAAACGCCTGCGGAAAGTGACGCAGGAAATGCGACCCTCCAAGCAGTGGCGGCAGCGTTTCGGTCCACGAAGGGAAGAAATCCCAACGTCTCGTCTGGCCGGGTGACGCACCAAACCAGATCTGCAGCACCACGTCCACTGTAAGACTGGCAAAGACCGTTCCCAGGACGACAGGGGTTCCTTGGCGAGCATACTCATCCAGAGACCCGCACATTGAGGAGATTGCGGGCTCAATCAGCGTGGCCTCATGGCCGAGGATCGACTGTTTGGAGAAACTGGGGGATAGGGTAGAGCGGCGTTGGCGATGGACATGATGATGCACGGTAGCAGAACTGGTGGCATCGGTGCCCTCCGACAGAAACCAGGCGTATTTATCGCGTTTGCGGTTCCCTGGCGGATAGAGCTCGCTGTACCACTCTGGATCCTTGACGTGAAGCTCATGCGGGCTGATGCGCACGATGGGCCCGTAGATCGAATGCAGTCGGTCAATCTCCTTGAAGTATTGGCCACCCTTTTCGGTGGACCAATCTTAGCAGCTGGGAAAATACAGTTGACCTGAAAGGACCCTCACCAGAAATACGTCAAAATAGCATTCGTACCATAGCGTGAGAGCCGCCAATTTTGGGCCGGGGAATCCCGCCAAAGGGTGGAAGTAGAGGCGCCAGATGGCCAGGCAGAGCAGATACAAACCGTAGAGCGCAGCGGAAAGAGCCAACAACATTGTGATATTCAAGATAAAATCAATTGATCTTCTCTGAACAATCTGTCTTGATGTTCTCCATCTCTTCTTACATGGTTGTCTGCATAAGTATAGGCACCAGAAGTAATCGGTCTCCGAGGCGGATGCCGAATACAGATACAGAACAACATGTGGTGAATAGATATGTAGACAAATTCAATTAATTGTCTCGGCCATAGTCGAATACGCAACCTCCCATTCTGCTGTATTTTGAAACTATACCCGTCATGTCTGTCACCAAGTCACAGATCCTGGAGCAAGTCCGCCAGATCCAGACCATAGCCCAGTCCATGGTCGAGACATGGGACGACAGTAAAACCACAGAGTCAAGCGCAGAATGGAGCACATCTGTCGTCCAACTCCAACAGGCTGCAGAGGAGTTGATATCTTTGACAGCCTCCCCACGATCGGTTGTGCGCGCCCTCCAGCTCGCCCACTATGATCTGGTCGCATATCAAGTGGCATTGGAATTCGATCTGTTCACAGCCATTCCAGCAGATGGAGAACTATCCCTGGCAGAGGTGGCAGAAAAAGCAGGAATCGACGAAGACAGAGTAGCCCGGGTGCTGCGTCTCCTGGCTCTTCACGGGATGTTCCAAGAAACGCAGGAAGATACCATCGCCCATACGCCGCTTTCCCGGTTCATCGCGGAGAATGAGTCTATAAGAGCGGCGCTGGGAATACAGTAAGTTTAGGCGAACGCAGATAGCTGAGTCGGTGAGGAATTCTGTTACTGATTTCTCGGCCTATCCGTGCAGAATGGATGAAATGTATCAGGCCGCTTCCAGCACCGCCGATGCCATCCGCAAAAACCCACGTACTCAGGAAGTGAATACCTCTCCCTTCGCCACTAGATTCGGAATATCAATCTACGATTTCTACACAAAGTATAAGAGCAAGGCCGACCGGTTCGGCCGGGGCATGATGGGCGCATCTTCGTGTGGGTGGCTCTTCTGAATCTGGTGAACAAACTGATGACATCGTGTCACTCGTACAGTGGAAGACGAAGGCCTGGTCAGTCTCCGTGACTGCTACAATTGGGCCGCCTTTGCCGGTGGAAAGATTGTCGACGTTGGGGGTGGAATGGGCCATGTCTCTATATTCCTGGCGAACGTGAGCGTCTCCTCTCATCTAATCCAGCAGTCATGGGATACTGATAGGCACAGCACTTCCCCAGTCTCTCTTTCGTCGTACAGGATATCCTCGTGCCTCCGGGAATAGACACAGAGGACAACAAGCTCGCGGGTAATGTGGAATTTCAACAACATGACTTTTTCCAGCCTCAGCCCGTCACAGATGCCCGAGCGTATCTGCTCAAACACGCACTGCATAACCACAGCGACGAAGACTGCGTCAAGGTCCTGGCGGCGTTGGTTCCGGCTCTGGAGGCGGCGGGACCAAAGGCTGCTTTGCTCATCAATGAAGGTGTTCTACCGGACTACGGGCAGGCAATGTCTCGCGACCAGCATTTGACCCTGAGACGGGGGGATATGTGTATGATGGTGACGCTTTCTGCAAAGGAGAGAACGAGGAAGCAGTTCCAGAATCTTCTTCGAGCAGCTGATCCTCGATTCAAGGTAGGACAGGATTATGGTTTTTGACTGCATGAAAGACAGATGGCTAACTGGATGTTCGCCAGATACACAATGTCTATGGCAATGCGGTTACAAGATTGATCGAGGTGTATTTGAGCGGAAGCGAATAGGTACAGGAGATATCGGCTTTTGCAAAAAAAAAAAAGGGTATACAAGAACCCAAGACTGCTTCACAGGAGGATTCATCCGTAGGGTTGACCCAAGTAGGTATTGCTCTGGAATATTCCTTGAATCATACAGAATGAACAAGCCTCACTTCGATTGGAGCTATTGGAAGTGTTCTATGAAGGATAGTTTTAAGATAACCCCTCAGATCAGTCCGTCCTTTCTCCTGCGAAAAAGTACCTTAGCATCAGAAGATGGCGCCACGGTACACCCCACATGTAAATTCTCCGGCCTGGTGGCACCATCCTCAAGACGAATATCATAGTTCTGTAGCAAATACGCCATGATCACCTTGATCTCGCTCGCCGCAAAGAACCGGCCGGGACATCCATGCGTGCCGTGGCCGAAGGCAAGGTGATCGGGGCCCGTAGCAACCAGCTGATGCATCGTCGCCTGGCCCGGCTGCTCGCGCAACTTGCTGAAACGAAAGCCGTCAAATTTGTCTCCGTTTGGGTACGACCGGGTCACTTCATGGGCGGAAATGCCCACCACGCTGCCATATGGGATTACATGGCCGGTGGACAAGTGCAGCCCTTCGCGGGCAGTCACGTGGCGAAGCATAGAGACCAGACCGGGGGGTTCATGCGCTGGCTTTCGCGGATGAAGCTATCCATTTTGCGTAGTTTGACCATGGATTCTTTGTGAAGTCGACCATCGTGGGCACCGTCTGTAGCGAGGACTAGTGCTAGTTCCTCTCGTAGAGGGGCAAGATACTCTGGTCGGGCGGCAAGGTCGAAGAGCGTCTGGGTGATGCAGATGGTTGTCGTGTGCATGGCTACAAACGTGGCAACGAGCTGGTCTCGCGCAAGCAGCTCTATTGTAGCCTTGCGCTTGTAGTGACCCATAATGTACTGCATCAGATCACCTCCCGTGTCAACACTTCGGCCAGTGGCCGCTGAGTTGCGGCGGTGACCAGCGGTGATTTTGTCCAGAACTGGCTGGAGCATGCGCCGTGCTGCGGCTCGATGCTGGCTCAGGCGCTTCAGGATAAAGGGGGCCACGAGGGGCCGGAGGAGATTCGGATATGGGGAGAGGGAATGAGCCCCGTGCCCGGCGTCCAAGGAATACTGCATCGTGACACGGCTCCATTCTTCATCTCGGCTCAGTGGCAGGCCAACGAACACACGAGAGCTGAGTAGACAGACAATTCCCAAAATAGCATCGTAGAGTGGGACTGGAGTCCAGTCTGTAGAGTCGCCTACATGCTTTCGGTAGGCGTATTCCACCTCGTCGTAGAAGGTCGCTAGATTCTGTTCAAGATGGCGGGTGAGGTCTACCCGAATTGCCGCGTCAAGCTCGTCACAAGGCTCTCCAAAACCTGTGTACTTCCCAAGGAAGATAGTGTAATGGTGTTGACTATAGCCAGATATTAGTTTGTCAGGTTGCGATAAAGAAACCGTCGTGACCTACCGAAGTGAAAGAATGTTTTCTGGCAGGGCCTTGATCTCTTTGATTGCGGATACAGGGAGAATGACCGTCGGGTGCATGGGCGTAGCTATAACAAAGGGTGACTTGGGATACTTCTTTGCGCCCTCTTCAAGGGCTGGCCGGAAATCAGTCTGTGTGACATCCCCGAGGACGGGGTAATCCAGCTTTGGCCCCTTTTGGGCTCGCCATCGGAGCACGACGAAGGCTACAAGGACCAGAAAGACAGCGGCAACGCTGGGTTTGGCTAATAGAGGATTCTCCTCCAGAATTTGCCCTTGGAGCGTTTGAATGAACTCCATTTTGGCACGAGGGATCGAGTGTTCAATACCGGGAACCACATAACAGGGCGCTCAAGGGGGGCTATTTTACCTTCGTCAGACTGGCTAGCTTGCTGGCTCAGAGGTGCCAGGGCAAGTCGGCAGCCGCCATCGGGCCGACCTGGCTGCACTGGCAATGGACTGAGCCCTAGAAGGAATACAATTCAAGTTGTACAAGGACTAGAACTGTCCAACGGTGTCCGAACAGCCATTGTATAAAGGTCTAGGCAATTGAGGCATTACGATACCAGTACTTCCTACTGCAACGCACCACAAAGACAATGAGTACATTCAATATTGCCTGGATAGTGGCCGTAAACGGGGCCAATAGCCATCCCAACCTATCAATCAATGACCTCTGGCAGGGGTGTGTCCTACTTGCCCATTCCCCTCAGCTATTCACTAGTGCTATCTCCGGCTGTGATATCCCTTCAATTCCCAGCAACAATTTTACCAGGACTGTACACTTTCGCCAAGGCCCCGTGGACAGGATGGAGCAGGAAATAACGTTGGTGGACAGACACAAGGTACCTCTCTCTGTTCTCTTCCCTACACTCCCCTAACCGAACGGCAGTTCGAATGTACCGTCCCAGACACCGGCAACCGGGTCACTACGATGATCTGCCATGGTGTCTCTGAGTCTCCGGAGGACCTTTATCTGTCATTCGAGTACAGCATACCGTACGGGAAGGTTAGTCCGGAGGGGGAGGAAGGCGCAAAGCTTCGGGCACTGTACCGTTTGAAAGCCAAGGAGAACTTGGTGACGGGGCTGGCCACCATGCGAGATCTCAAGTCTCGTGGGAAGTTGACATAGGGTGTACTCTCTCTCTTTTACCGTCTTGAACAAGCCTTGCTTTTCCTTGATCTGTACTGCCGTGCTGCCGCTGCTGTAAGGTGTGTCATTGTAGCTGCTGGAACAACGTATTGAACGTAGTCTCCGACCAAGGATCATCGGTGGCCGGTAGAAAGGCCCACAGTAGAACCGCACATAGATTGCTGCCACTATGGGCTGCTGACATCGGGTCTGGGCATACGGAGTGTTCTTGCCTCCCCCCGTATAGTACAAAACCCACCATCAGTGGCAGAGAACCTCGATAGAAGTTGTTGCATACTGCAGTGCACTGGTCGATTACACTCTTTCTGCAATGGGTACAGAAATCATCGTATCGGAGGCAATGCAGGCATCATATCAGCTCTCGTCGCGGGTGCTGGAGCTCATTGCCAGAGTCCTCAGTCTACCATGCTCAAACCTCGACACAACGAGAACCTTTACCGGAATGGGAGGCAATTCGCTTCTTGCAGTTCGATTGTCGGCAGATTGTCGTCAAGAAGGCATTGCACTTTTGGTGGAAACGATCATGGGTTGTGATAATATTAAGAAACTCATTGGTCTGGCCAGACCTGTCCTTCAACCAGATAGCTGCACCGCCACTACTCCCATGCAAGCACACGAGCAGAATAGCAGGTCCGACAAAAAGACCATTTCAGGACCTCCACTGACAGAAATTCAATTAGCCTTGATTCATGGCACGCAGAGGCATCCCACTCGGAACATTATTAGTTACTTCGAGACCTACCCGTCAGAGCAGGTTCCCATCCTGCGTCACGCGTGGTATACAGTCGTGTCCATGGAGCCCATCTTCCGCACCAACCTTGACCTGCGAGATGGTAGTCATCTCGTTGAGCAAGCAGAGGCACCTTTCATCTGGAAGGAGCAGACAGTGGACTCGCGTGAGGCATACGACCGAGCCTTGCATGAGACTCCCTCCCTCCTCCAGCTGGCACCAGGACAGGAGTGTGAGTCCATGTGGGGAAATCGGTACGATGTGGTGACACTGGACCTCAAAGGCAGAGCGGCATCTACCCAGGGGAGCATCAGCACCATTGTCTGGCGGATTCATCACGCCCTCATCGACGGTTACTCAGCCACACTTGTGCTGCAAAAGGTCCGGCGAGTGGCTGCCGGCCTGGCTGTTCAACCCAGCCCGTCATTCACGACGTTGGTGGAAGAGCTCGGCCAACTACAAAGCAGTTCACAGGAGGCGGCTAAGGAGTTCTGGAAGCAACAGTATGCGCGGTACGGGTCAACAGGCGGGGAGCTCCAATTGCCGCCACAGCAGGATTCCAACAAAGAAGATGGTATCGGCGCAATCTCCTTCCAGATGCCCGGCGAGGTGCAGTCGCAGGCACAGGCAGCCGGGGTTACCACGGCCACGATGTGCTACGCCGCGTGGGCACTGGCGCTATCAGTCTTCATTGACTCGGAGACGGTAGTGTTTGGAGCCGTGTTGTCAGGGCGGAACCTGCCCCTGGACAATGTAGAGACGACCATCGGGCCTCTCGTCAATACGCTCCCCATCCATGTCCCACTTGACCCGACACAAACGGTGGCACAAATGCTCCAGCAGGTCTTCCGACAGCTGGTGAAGCTTTCCACTTTCCAGTGGACGTTACCCGAGCATGGGTACGATCGGAAGTTCACCTCAGCCCTTAGTATGCAGCTGGAGCCAACCAGGATCGACGTTGATGGGGCGGTTGTTCAGCCTCTGACACCTCCATACTCTCGCTCTGAGACCGATTTCCCTCTCAGCATCTTCATTGAAACTGACGGGACAGTCCGTGTGCAGTACGACCGCAGCATGTTCCCGTCCAGCATGGTCGAGCTCATTTCGAGTCACTACCAGCAGGCATTCACTCTACTTTGCGATCTCAATGCCACGGTTCAGCATTGTCTAGGCGGTCTGCTCACTCCTGAGACCCGCCAGACCTTGCTCCATTTGGGGAACTGCATATCTCCTCTGACGACATTCAGTGCCGTCAAGGATGATCTCGTGAGCCTGTTCATGCGAAACGTCTCCGAGCACGGAGATCAAATTGCTCTTCAGCGAGGAAAGCATAACATGACCTACGCAGAGCTTCACGAGGCTTCCAGCAAAGTTGCTCGGCAACTGTTCAAGGATGTCAAACCAGGCGATCCGGTGTGTCTGCATGCTGATCAGTCCCTGGAGTGGATCATTGGCATCTACGGAATTCTCTTTGCTGGGGGGGTTTACTGTCCACTGCACGCCAACCTGCCTCAAGACCTTCGCAATCAGTATGCGGACACCGCAGGGGCAACTGTCTTCCTAGTTCCTCGGCTGCATCAGATGCATCTCAAACCGGCTGGCTGTACATTGGCGATCTCAGTTGAGGACTGTATACACAGTACAGGGCAGGAGTGCCCAACAATATCGCCATTATCTACCCGCCAACCCAACGCACAGGCCAACGCATATATTTGCTTCACCTCTGGATCGACCGGAAAGCCAAAAGGAGTTATATGCACACATGCCGGACTGGTCGCTTTTCAGCGTGACCGGACTGTGCGCTTGATGGCCCGTCCAGGGTGGAGGGTGGCCCAAACCATGTCCCCCGCGTTCGACGGAAGTATCCATGAGATCTTTTCGGCCCTCAGTTATGGGGCAACGCTGGTGCTCCCGCATTCAGCAGACCCGTTTTTGCATCTCGCCAACGTTGATTCGTGCATTCTGACTCCTTCAGTGGCCAATGTTCTTGACCCGACTCGCTTTCCGACCTTGCAGACGGTAAGCACAACTTGGTTCGACGGAGTGAGCGCAGTCGCTTTTTGACCGGATCACTGACATCTCTTAGGTTTACCTGGTTGGTGAGCCTGTTCCGCAGGCCGTCAACGACCGATGGTCACAGCAAAAAGGATTGTACAACATGTATGGCCCTACGGAAGGGACTGGCGGAGCGACGATTAAGAGACTATTGCCGAAATATCCAGTGACGATCGGTCGTCCTAACCCGTCCACTCGGATTTACATTCTGAATCAGAGACAGACTCTTCTGCCACCTGGAATCACTGGAGAGATTTGGCTTGCCGGTGTGCAGGTTGCTCGGGGGTATATTGGTTTGCCCGAACAAACGGCCGACCTATTCAGACCTGATCCCGTCTGTCCAGACAGTGGCGAGATGATGTATAGGACCGGTGATTATGGATACTGGGATGTCAGAAGTGGCGAGATCGTGTGCCTAGGGCGCAAGGACCGCCAGATCAAGCTGCGAGGCTTCCGACTGGATCTCAATGACCTCGAGATTCGCATGCTAAAGCTGCATTCATCCACCACAGCGGTGGCCATCGCTCCAAACTGGGAGGGGAATTACCTTGTGGCCATGGTTACACCAGCCTCTGTTGACACCGGCATGCTAGAGACACTAGCCCGGCTGAGGCTCCCTCCCCATGGGCTGCCCCGATATATCATCGCTACTGACGGGTTCCCCATGACCTCCGCCGGCAAGCTCGACTACCAGTCCGTTGCCAAAGCTCTTCCCGAGACCGTCCCCCAGCCAACGGCACAGCAGACAGATAGTCTACCTCTATCAACAGGAACGGAGAAGCGAGTTGCACGGCTGTGGCGAGCAGTTTTAGGGCTGGATCTGAGCAAAGCAATAACCCGCTCATCGGACTTCTTTGATCTGGGTGGCCATTCTGTACAGCAGCTGCATCTGGCGTCGCGCCTCACAGAGGAATTCCAGCTGCGCATTCCGTTCAAGGTCGTCGTCGAGTGCCTGACAGTCCAGGAGATGGCCGAGCAGATCGATAGGCTGCTCACGCTCAACGCGCGGACGTCTCTCAAGGATACGTTCAATCGCCCGGCGGGTCAGGTGGATGAGCATCAGCTGGCTCCCATCGAGCTAGAATGGTGGCACAAGTACCAGCTCGGCGAAGAAGGTACTTCGGCCTTCAACGTCTGCTTTGCCGCACGATTTGATCCCGGTCGCGTGGACCGTCATCGGCTCACCGCCGCATGGAACACCGTCCTAGGCCGCCATATGATCCTGCGGTCTCGATACGTCTCAGATCGCAGGGCCGGGGTGCGCCGTCGATTTGCCAACAGCCCGCCACAAGTGCACCGGGTTAGTCATATGGATCTGTGGAAGGAGGTCAATCGGCCGTTCCTCCTGGCGCAGAACGATCCCATCCGGGTGCTCATCTCACGCGACGTGCTCCTGGTGGTCATCAGCCATATCGTCTGCGATCTGACCACGCTTGAGCTCCTCCAGGGTGAAGTCGCGGGAGCATATCATGGCGAATCATCGCTACGCACCAGTCCCCGCGCAAACTACATGCATGTCATGGCTCACAACTCCATCTACGCCAGCTGCGATCTGGAATTCTGGTCGGAATACATGGCCGGAGTACCTGATCCCGCGCGAGACTCCTTTGCGGTAGGCTCGGAGCGCACCAGCTACGGAGGCACATCCACCGTCTTCCCCATCCCGCCACTGCTAGCGGGCCAGATGCTCCGCGTCGCCCATGAGCACCGACTCAGTTCCCACCAGCTCGCCCTCGCAGCCGTGGCGCTGACCATGCAAGCCGGCGAGCCTAATACAGCAATCGATCTCCTCCTAGGCGGCCCACATCTCAATCGCAAGACCCCAGAAGCGCAGGAGGCCATCGGACTCTTCCTCGAACCGCTCCCCATCCGGGTTCGTGAGCCGGTCCCCTCCCCGGTGCACACCGGACAATTCTTACAGGCGGTGCGGGACTCGAGCCAGCGCGCACTCGGCCACGCAGTGCCCTGGAACCAGTTACTCTGCCGTCTGAGCGCAACGCAGGATTACCCCAACCATCCCCTGTTCGATACCATGGTCACGTTTCACGACAATCGGAAGAAAGTGCCATTTCCGCTGCCTGGGTTCGAGCCCGTTGGACTCTGGGCTGAAGGAGCCAAGTTCAAGCTGCTGTTTGAGTTCTGCATGGAGTCGGATCAGGACTTGACGGTGAGGGTTGAGCATGACCGCGATTGCTATCCGGATGTAGTGGTCAACAGGATCGTTGCCGTTTTGCTGTACGGCCTGCAGTTACTTGGGGAGGAAATATCGTTTCCAGCACTGCGAGCACAGCTGGCAGCCCGGGTGGAGGTGTGATCATAATTCTGGTGTCTTTTTTGTCTTTTGCCAAAACTGTCCTTAAAGCGCATTTTCCTATATTCTTGGAGGAAAGCAAGCGGTTCGTTCTGATCATCGCAATACATACGTTTTTAGTAGCGAACCTACGGAGTATACATTATCGAAACACTGTAATCATAGCAGCGACTCGCAGCCTAGTCGACGATACCTCGCTGGCTAGGAACCCCCTTAAGGCTTAAGCACCAACCTCCGTACTGCTTACAGTATATAACTTATATTCATTATATATATTTTTAGTATATTAGTCTATAATATACTAAATATTATCTCTCTATTATATAAAGTATACTAGGAATTACTTACATAATAGTATAGTAAAGTTACAGGCTTTATAATTATATAAGTATAGAGATAATACTATTATTACAGTTGCATTTGGTGCGGGTTCGGGCGGGTTCAAGCCTAGGTAGTTGGCCCCAAACCGCTGCGGTTTCGGGTTCAACTTTTAGAACCCACAACCAAACTGGACCCGATCCGGTTTGGTTGCAGTTTTCACCACAAAACCCACCGCTAGGCCTAGATAGGCAGTCACTAGCCTACCTAGGTGGGCGGTATGCCTAGGCAATATCAAAAATTTCAATAGTTTTTAGATTTCAATTTCTCCTACCTTAGGCCTATGCCCAGGGCCTATTAAACATGCGTATAGAAAATTAATATTTTTATATGAAATATATGGTAATTATAGTTATTTTAATCTATATCTAAAATATCGATTCAATATCTATAGGGCTGAATAGGTGGTGGTTAAAAAATCATTTTTAAACATCATGATTATCAAGGGTCAGTCGCACATATATATAAACCACCACTACTTTCATGCCAACCGATGACAGAAATGCTTATTCCCTTATATCTCACCAACCACTAGATATTTTCAATCGATATTTCATATTTAGATAGACTAGATACTAGACTATCTAGTGATACTAATATTTCTAGAGAAATCTTAGAAATTAGTGATTACTAAGCAAAACAATGAGGTTTGGTTAACCCAATCTTATAAAACCGCAAAAACTGCAACGGATTAACCGAATGGTTTTGAGTTTTAGGGTAGGGAAACCGAAACCATTGCGATTTCCTAGCCTAGGAACCGAACCCGAACCACTGCGAGTTCGGTGAGGGTCAGATTCGAATTTAGCGGTTGGATTATGCAACTCTAGCTTTTATATAGGAAATTAAGCTTATGTTAAGATGGCTCCTTAGTCCTTACATTAAGGTGGTAGGGTCGCCCTAGCAGGCGACCCTGAAATTAGGTGGGGTTGGTTAGCACTTGCTAGAGATCCATACCTGTATATACTGATGCTGCTATGAGCTGGATAGACGATATATATTTCAGTGATTCGCCAGTGTTTTTCAAAGGAAATACTCTATTTTTAAGGCAGTTACCAACGTTCTCCTTTTTGAATCTCCTAATATACTGTTTTTACGGGTTGAACCTCTCCTGTTGTCGCCATCACTGCCTGCAAACTCCTATCCAAAATGACTCCTGAACATCATTGCCAAACCTACTCAACCACATTGTGGCCTGGTGATAGGCTCACAAGACTCAGTATACCACTGAATGACGAGCTATTAGTCGACAAGGTACTTGCCGATGATTCAGGACAGACACACTATAACGCTAAACATCTGGTCCAATATCTGAAACTCACGAGTGCCTCACACAAGCCCCCGCCACCAAACAGGAAACAGAAACACCAAGGATGACTGTTGCTACATAGAATGCCGAGCCGTCGGGATGATTCGCCTGCCACGGACCCAATACGACCGGACTCAAGAGTCCCCCGCGGTCTCCATCAGCGCCAGCGCAGCGACAACCCGAGACTTGGCCTCAAACTGAACAACCACAAAGTTTTTCACAAAGGACGGGGTGGCCAAACCTACTGCAAGCAATGATGCCGCCAAGTACACCTGTTGCGACTGAGAGAGTAACAATGCGGCAGCTACCTGGCTCAGTATAGAGAGTACTGCGGCACCTAGATCGAACAGTCGGGGTTCGGTGTCTTGGTACGTGGGGGTTCGACCGGCCAACGAGAGGACTTTTGGTACAACGAAGGTGGAGAATATGAGGTATCCTGCAGCGGTGACTGCAATGAGGGAGAGAAGGGCTCCATTGTTTGTTGGTGTAAAGCCAAATTGGAGAGAGGTGAAGATGAAGAGCAGATTGATCATGTATCCCTGAACCATGTTGTAGAGCAACAAAGACAAGCCAAATAGAATCGTGCCAGGATACTCATAGAAAAAGCCTGCCGGCGATAGGGCCTCAGCTAGCCGACTCGTGCGGGCCTTTCGAATTGTCGTTGTCTCTGAGGACAGCGGAGCGGTGGCGGAATGCACTTGCGGCTCTCTCACTGTTCCAGACACAACTAGCAATACATAGACGATCGCTATCATAAAGAGACCGATGGCAACGAAGAATGTCCATTCCACCGAGGGCAACCAGCCGGCGCCAAGAGGCGCAAGGGCCATGCCGACCATGTAGCAGGCCAGGGAGGAACCCATCAGCATGGATATGGTCTCGGGGGAGGTGGCCTGGACATATATGACGTTCAAGGTGAAATGCAGCAGATTATCCGAGGCTAAGCCTTGCAGTACTAAACCTCCCAGGACGCAGGGAAAACTTCTCAGTCCCACTAGATCAGCCTTTGATAAGCATGAGCCATTTTTGAATCGAGTGTACGCTCCGGACAGAAGACACACTTACCTCCAACGACGACGCCCAAGGCGCCGACTGCGCGGCAGAGCAGCCAAATAACGAGACCAGCACGGACATCCCAATGCACTACTCGCTTCATGTATCCCAAAGTGAGAAGACCTGCCGCATTGGCCAATGCAGTTGCTGCTGCCACAGAGACCGCATAGCGGCGGGTTTCTTCGCCCTGGCAGTGGTCTGGGTCTTCACAGAACAGAGATGCAACAGCCCATACGGACGACGCAGCGGTCATATGCAGAGCGGACGAGGCAAGGAAAGAGACCGGAACGGCTTTGGACTCATCACTGACGACGCAGCTACGGTTGCGCTGGCCGGCATGGCCCAACAGGCTGGCCTCCTCCTCTGCCGGGTCGCAGGTGCTGGCATGGCCGGTGGAGTGCATAGTCAACCAGACGTCTTCCTTTGATCTGGCTACGTATATTTGCAATATGTGTCTCTGCTTCCAAGCCTTGCGTCTTTTTGGCACGCAATGGTGCTGTTGGACAACGTCGATAGACACGCCCAGATTCGGAGCCCGGGCGGATCCCGACAGCGTCAGTACTTTCGCCACAGGGACCTTTCCAACAAATCTGAACTAGGGTGACTGTTTCTGCTTTTCATCTGTGATTGCTGATTTGGCGAATCGACAAAAATTTACGGAAATGGAAGATCTTGCCTCCAGCGCTCGAGTCGTACTGCTTCCAGCGTACCCGATTTCTCTCGCAGGTGTATACCTCATCTCGAGCATCTGGCTCAAGATCCGGCGCGGCAAAGCAAACATAGACGATGGCCTCTCCTCTATTTCGGACACGCGGGCCCGGTTGATCAGATGGCTTCTCTGCATCTTTACCGTCTCGTTAGTATGGCATCAAGAGTCTGCCGCTTTTTGCTCGTAACGTGGGCTGACTACCGTAGTTGGGCTCCATCCTGGTAGCGCAATTATCGGCGTCTCGATATAAAGGGCAATGTAGTAGTCAATGGCTCCCGAACACAGTAAGTGCCTCCATTTCCTCCGGGCTGTTGGATACATCATACTGATACTGTGACTTGAGGCCCCAACCACCGCGGTATTTCTGTTCTTTGCAGCCTCTCTCCTGCCGGATCCCGACCTCCCATACCGACCTTCAGCTACGAATATACACACCTGGATTACTGCGATTATATTTGAAGCAGTAACAGTAGTGCTGGACTGCGTGGCTGCCCCAAACTGTCCTATCGATGGCCTTACTGTCCTTTGGCTAGTTCTAGCCTATGGACGGCTAGCGCTACTCATCGCTGCGTGCAGCATCAGGCATATCTCATCGCGGAGGGGACTCAAGGATCCCGCTCGAGAAAGCTTGTTGAGCTCCGACACTAGTGAGGAAGGCCGATATGGCACGGTCGAGGCCAGCCCGCCGAAGCCCGGTGACGCTCAGTCAACGAATTGGCTGGACTACCTCGTCGGGTTGGGGGTCATATTCCCATTGATCTGGTGAACTAAGCCAAAGCACCCTGAATAACTTGAGTTATTAGAGTATGTGCTAAATTTTATGGATTGACAGGCCGGCCGACTCAGTGTCCATGCAGCTACGAGCCATCGTCTGCATCATAATCCTCATCGCCCAGCGCATCGTCAACGTCCTTGTCCCACTACAACTCGGTCATGTTGTTGCCTCTTTGGGCAAAGGTCATGTCCCCTACAAAGAACTCTCCCTCTATATTGCCTGCCGAGCGGTGCAAGGCCAGCAGGGCGTTCTAGCATCTATTCGAGCGCTTCTGTGGATTCCCTTTGGACAAGCGACGTATCAGAGACTGACCGAGTTGTCTTTCAAACATGTGCTGTCTCTGTCGCTTCAATTCCATCTAGGAAAACGCCTGGGGGAAGTCATGAGCGCTCTGAACAAGGGAAGTGCACTCAACACGTTTATCGACTCCCTCGTCTTCCAGCTGTTTCCGATGGTTGCAGATATCGGCGTTGCCGCCATTTATTTCCTGGTCAACTTTGACCCGTTCTACTCCCTCATCATTCTCGCCATGGGCGGCACGTACCTGTTTGTCACGATCTATATGGCCAAGTATCGGGGTCGGGCACGACGCCAGATGGTCAACTGCGATAGGGAAATGGAGGCAATCAAGTATGTTGTGCAACATTTCTTAACTATGCGATGAATCATGCAATGTTAAAATGCACGCAGATCCGATGCGATAATGGCCTACGATGTCGTCCACTACAATAGCGCTGTTGACCAGGAACAGCGTCGCTTGTCCGACCGCGTCACAGCCTTTCAACGGGCCGAGTTTGGCGTGCTGGTGTCTTTGAACTTATTAAACACCGTCCAGAATCTCATTTTCACTCTCGGCGTGGCCCTCGTGAGTTTCCTGTCCGCCTACAATATCTCCATCGGGGTCGAAAAGGTGCCCCTGTTTGTGTCGCTGGTAGCGTACCTGGCGCAGCTGCAAGCGCCACTGGGGTTCTTCGGTAGTTTCTACACTCAAATCCAAAACAATTTGATTGATGCAGAGCGTATGCTTGCCTTGGTAAGGGTCCCGTGCTGGAATCTCGAATTTTCTCATGTCCACTGACGCGACAGTGGTACAGTTTAACGAGAAGCCCTCAGTGGTAGACAAGCCTGATGCCATCGATCTAGTCGATTGCAAAGGGCACATCACGTTCGAGGGCCTGACGTTTGCGTATGACCCCGCCGTTTGGCCTTGATCAAGATCGATCTCGATATCCCACCCGGAAAGTCAGTGGCTATTGTAGGCGAGAGTGGAAGCGGGAAGTCCACGCTGCTGCGACTCCTTTTTCGCTTCTACCACCCAGATAGCGGTCGGATCCTCATCGATGGCCAGAGCGTGGAGGACATTACCATCGAGAGCTTACGCAAGCACCTGGGAGTTGTCCCGCAGGAGACGATGCTCTTTAACGATACTCTCATGTATAACCTGTTATATGCCAACCCATCCGCCACGGAGGAGGATGTTTATGCCGCCTGCCGCGCAGCGAGCGTTCATGACAAGATTATGGCTCTTCCGGATGGGTATCAGACCCAAGTCGGAGAGAGGGGTTTGCGTCTATCAGGAGGCGAGAAGCAGCGGGTACGGGCGTCCTTGGCTGATCCGTAGAACAAAGCTGACTCGTATAGATTGCAATTGCTCGCGTCCTATTGAAGTCGCCGAGGATCATCCTCATGGACGAGGCGACAGCCTCGTTGGATTCGGAAACCGAAAAGTCCATTCAGGCCTCGTTGGCTAAGATCAGTATCGGCAGGACTACCATTACCATCGCGTAAGTATTTGACCACTTGGGGATGAGGATTCCTTAACTGATAGGCCCTGCAGACATCGTCTATCTACAATTACACACTGCGACGAGATTGTTGTCTTCCACAATGGCACCATCGTGGAGCGAGGAAACCATACACAGCTCTTGACGCAGCGGGGGAGATATTGGCAGATGTGGGACAAGCAGACTAGAGAGCCTCGCTCTCCTTCTGCGGAATGAATTGGAGTAAATTATGCTTTCCTGGGTAGCTTCATCAACAGTTCAACCGGTGATCACCCAATAGATACCATCAGATACATTGTATCCTAGATGTGTCTCGTTGATCTCCCGTCTTCGTTGTACATCTTGTGCTCCCATCCCTCTAGCAAGCGTAGAACAGATGCCTCCATCTTTGTACATCCGCTCCTTCGTTTGCTTATTCTTTAGCAAAATATAAGACGTGAAGCGTTATGGGTGTAGAATATTTTGAACACAAACACACCGAACCGTGTATTTCACTATCTACTCCCAATGTAAAGAGAAAAACAGTCTCCCAATCCAACTAGAGCTGCGAAAGCCACTAGCTAACTGCATAATCTGACTAGGCTCGCTGATCCAGCTCCCTGAGAATCTTCTCACTCTTTGCTTTAGCGGAGTCGAAGTTGCCCACCATGTAAAAAGCGTCTGAATGGGAGTCAATAGTGGCCCTCGTTAACTAGGATTGCGGGTTACTCACTCTCAGGCATATTATCACCCTGCCCGTCAAGAATAGCCCGGAAAGATCGAATAGTATCCTCCAATGGCACCAACTCTCCCTTCATGCCCGTAAATACCTCTGCCACAGCAAAAGGCTGACTGAGGAAGCGCTGGATTTTTCGCGCCCGCTCAACCTTCAGCTTATCCGTCTCGGATAACTCATCCATGCCCAGGATGGCGATAATATCCTGGAGCGACTTGTACTCCTGGAGAATCATCTGTACCTCCAGCGCGGTGTTGTAGTGTTCCTCGCCTACAATGCGCGGGTCCATGAGGCGGGATTTGGACCCCAACGGGTCAACCGCGGGATAGATGCCCAGCTCCGAGATGCTCCGGGACAGCTCGGTGGTTGCGTCGAGATGCGCAAAGGTCGTGGCCGGGGCGGGATCAGTCAGATCGTCTGCGGGGACGTACACGGCCTGCACAGAAGTAATGGAGCCCTTGGTTGTGGTGGTGATGCGTTCCTGGAGGGCGCCCATATCGACTGCCAGGGTAGGTTGGTATCCCACCGCAGAGGGAATGCGTCCCAGCAAGGCGGAGACTTCGGAGCCTGCCTGTGTGAAGCGGAAAATGTTGTCGATGAAGAGGAGGACTGGGTTTTGGTGAGTCAAATGCGGTTGTTAGGAAGGGTAGGTAGACTCACCGTCCTGTCCTTCGTCGCGGAAGTACTCGGCAACCGTCAGTCCTGTCAGTGCCACGCGAGCACGAGCACCGGGAGGCTCATTCATCTGACCGAACACCAGGGCGACTTTGGACTCCCCTTTTAGGTTGATGACCCCGGTTTCTTGCATCTCATGGTAGAGATCATTGCCTTCTCGAGTCCGCTCGCCGACTCCAGTGAAGACAGAGAAACCACCATGGGCTTTGGCAATATTATTCTGTCATGGCATCATCACAGTCAGCGCTGTATTCCTGTCGAAATCGACGGATAAAAGTACAGACAATCAACTCCTGAATGAACACCGTCTTCCCCACTCCAGCACCCCCAAAGAGGCCGATCTTGCCTCCACGGGCATACGGGGCCAGCAAATCCACGACCTTGATGCCCGTCACAAGAATTTCTGCCGCCGTGGACTGTTCAACAAAGTCTGGAGGATTTGCGTGGATAGGCATGGTCCTGACCCCCTCGATAGGACCACGCTCGTCAATGGGATCACCCGTGACGTTCATGATCCGGCCCAGCGTAGCGGGCCCGACGGGAATAGAAATGGGAGCGCCGGTATCCGTCACCTGGGTTCCTCGGATGAGGCCCTCGGTTCCTGTCGAATGGTCATGAATCTTAGCGCGGTCTGTTCTGCTTTGTTTTGCAAGGCACAAGAGGCTACTAACCGTCCATGGCGATGCATCGGACAATGTTTTCGCCCAGGTGTTGCTGTAAAGGTATGTTAATCAGATTGATTACAGCGATTTTGACAGGGGCCTCTCACGGCTACTTCCAACACAAGCTTGTTGCCTCCATTGGAAGTCTCGAGGGCGTTGAGGATCGGGGGTAGAGGCTCGCGGTGGAACTTGACATCGACGACTGAGGGATTGCACGCTCTTAGTGTCAATGTACAAGTGAATTATGTTCACAATGCGTACCAGCACCAATAACGGTATGGATCTTGCCCTGACCCTGGGGCCCCTCCGTACTGTTGAATCGTCGAACAAAGAGCGCACGGCCGTAGGGCAAGGGGACCGTTCTGGAAGAGACGAGTCCCCTGAATCTCAGCACCGATGAGTGTCCGATCATCTTAGTACATCAGATTGTAACTAGAAGTACAAACACGCAATGTCTAATGGGATGGTTGCTGCAAAGAAGAGACAAGTAAGGCACAAGGTCCAGGCGACTCAATTAGCGACAGGAAGAGGTCTACAATCTCCCGAATGGCTGGCTCAGTGTTCGAAAAGAGACAGAAACTATCCGACTCTCTTCTGATTACTCTGTCTGCTATGCTCTTACGACATCCGGCGCATATGGATGCATGAGATCTCGGGGTCCGCGCCCTCACGGATAGCCAGGCAGACTTCCGTAGCCCCTGATTAGGACCTCTGGAATCATATCTGACCCTGTAAGCTACGTTAGGCATCTAAGTGACACTACTGTACTTTCCGATCTTTACGCGGTCAGCACTACATTAGGGATAGAACGTACGTAGTGCGTTGCTTCCCATACCGATGTGGTGGATTGATTTCCTATCGGCCACCGAGACGCTGAAGGGCCTGCGGGGTCGTGCTCACTTGAGCGTAAACAGCAAAATAATTTGCAGACGTAAAAGAAAATCTGGTGTGCTTTATGCTTTATACGAGAGAAGGTGGCACTTGAGGCGTGAATAGTGCTTTGGCCCGGTCTTATCAGTCTGGATGGCATCATTTCTATCCAAATGGTGTTCCCACCACGTAGATATAAATCGAACTCGACAACCTCCGCCCGCCGTAGATTCTCAGTTGCGGCTAGAAAATGTCGGCAGCCGACTCAAGGCCATACATACACCCAATTACCATGGCCCGCATGACACTCTCCGAGTATGAGGAATCCTTCCATATGCAACGCCAGAAGCATCAGAAACAGGAATTTGAGCAAGAGAGCGGCAATCCCAATGCAAGTCCATGCAGTTAGCCGGACGTCCTCATCTCTCCGAGCGGGCAAAGAGACGGACGACGCCAGCAGAATCTGGTATTTCGCTTACGGCTCCAACATGTCCTCTGAAACGTTTCGCCAACGTCGAGGCATTAGTTCTCTGGCGGCGGTGCCCGTCCGCATCCCGGGGTGGGCCCTTGTCTTTGACATCTACGGCCTTCCGTACCGAGAGCCCGCGTTCTCGTCCATCAGCCCTATCCCCTTTTCGGATGATGCTACTGTGAACGAGAAGAGGAACCACGACCTGCCAGCAGTGCACGGGGTAGCGTATCTGCTTGATCGCCAATCTTGGTATTCCGTGGTGCGATCGGAGGGCGGGGGGACAGCCTATGACGAGGCGGAGGTTCTAGCTGAAGCGCTCAGCGCGCACAAGTGTGACGAAAATGATGATCTGCAGTTGCTACAACTACAAGCCTCGCTAGGGGATTCCAAGGCCGAAGAGGACGAGCCGAATCAGCCACGGCGGTTCCACGTCACGACACTAGTCAGGGGGTATGGGCCCACTGTCCCTCGCTGCCCTAGTCTGCGTTACAAGGTGAGGCGTTCTTGGAGGTAACCCCCAAGATAGAAAGAAGCTGATCAACGACGAATGCAGGGTGTCATTCTAGACGGAGCGCGCGAGGCAAAGCTGCCGAGGGAGTATCGATGCTATCTTGACACGCTCCCTTTCTATGACTCTCCAAGGAATGGCTGGCGTCGGTTGGGGGCCATGTTATTCCTGGCTCTGTGGGCCCCAATCATGGCTGCAGCCGAGAAGCTCACAGGAGCAACAGCTAACTGGGATGGCAGGGGCAATTGCCCGACGTTTGTGAAGAAGGTGGTACGCCTGATTCTGTTGCTTATGTGGCTGCACCATGACTGGCTTCATGCGCCTCTCTTTGGCAGAGGAGATGGCTGCGACGAGGCCTCGGAGCTTGGCTGCTGTTAGGCTCATGATGTCTGGTCTTCATCATTCCGTGCCTTTAGGTTATTCACTGCATAATCAAATTGACGTATAAGGCTGTAGACCACATGGTCTACCCTAAGTTGACAGGCCGAGGCCAAAGACCAGATAATGTAATTCCCGGGCGAGCCGCCACTCCCATCCGATTTCGACGCGTTTGAACATTTGAGGCCATTAAAATAGCTACATTGTAACTTATTAAGGGTTATAAGATAGCTATATGTAGTATAATCTTTTTAGTAAAGAAAACCATGATCTACGCACAGCTAATAAGAAACAAAGGAGAAAAGGAAGTAATATAGATGCTAGATAACTCCTAATAAAGGACTTTATATATAGCATGCTAGGGATCCTATCCAGGCAAGAATCAAGTAAGGTAATGATATTAGGTGGGCCATCTGCTGGTTCTACTTCTACATCTTTACCTCCAGAACCCCGAAAAAACACGCCACTAAGCTGTTTTAATTAATTCATTATAGCGCATACTAGAATAAACTGCCCTACACGCTCTACAAGGAAGATCTAATAAAATTATATTGCTTGGTTGATTCAGATAGCTTCAAATATTCAAACACGCCGAAATCGGATTGGGGGGTGGCGGCTCGCCCGGGACGGCGGCTCGCCCGAGATGGCGGCTCGCCCAGGGTGGCGGCTCGCCCCAGAAACTACGTTACCCCCATAACCAGATTATTTTAATCTGGCTGAACTTAGAGGATTACAGGATACCCCGCATCCGTCCGTTCTCCTGCCGCCTCTGCAGATCCCTGTTCCTTTACCGTTTTGGGTCTAAAGGGCCTGGCATTTAACGCCACCGTTTGATTAACACGATGAGTACAAATTGTACTTTCTATCAACGCACTTCACCTCCATTTCATGCAGATCGCCCGGTTGGGTATTCGCGGGTTGAGCCGTAATCAGGAAAAATACCCCAAGAACCAAGAATGGTCATCATAATCATTAGATCGCTATTTGGTTGAAACAGGTACACGGTGGGCATGACACAGTTACTTTGCGAGCGTCTGCCTCAAAGCCTGCAACCGTGTCTGGAGATCCGACTGCCATGATGAGTAGATAGTCGCCAGATTCTGATGGTCATCTTGGATCTGCTGCACACGGCCAGCAAGCTTATCCACAATCTGGCTACATCGCTCCAGCTCTTTCATGAACAGCTGCACCTGGATGTCGACGTATTGCTCCGGATCAAGACGGTAGTTCCCGAATTTGATGGTGGGGATATGGCCCTGCGGTTCTTCGGCCTCCGAAGGAAGCATCACATAGGAAGATGCACTCTCCATAAGAGTGACTACGTGGTTCAAGGCGATGCAGTTGAGCCCCAGCAGACTCATGCTGGGGTAGGTCTTCAGCGAGTCGAGATGTAGGACGAGTTGTGCCATGCAGTGCTTGCTGACGCGCATGACTTCGTCCACGGCCATCAGCCGGATGTGGATGTAGTATTCGAGTTCATGTACTAGTTCTGTGCAGGTGACCATGCGCTGGAAAGAGCTCTGTCGATGCGCGTGGAAGGGATGATGTGTCATATTCACGTTTCCGCTCTTCATAGTGGTGTCTACCTGCGGATTAACGAGCCCGCTGGAGCTGAGACCCCGGCTCGGAGAGAATTGGAACGGGGAGGTGAGTGCCATCAGATCGGCTGTGGTGGGATCCGGGAAATTAGTTGCATCATGGCCCGACGCCGTGCAATCAATAGGCGTTCCGACGGAGGGCAGGTCCTCGAAACCCCAGAGCAACGAGCATTCATCCGCTTTGGATGGGGGCTTCGAGTGGATACTGCCATTCTCATGGCCCCTGGGATCTGTGGAGAGGTAGTCGTCGAAGCTAAATTCGCCGGTCAGGCTATTCAGACTGTTGAGGCTGCTCGAAGTAATCGGCGTGTTGGCTGGCAAGGGCGTGCTGGCAGCCGGTGTCGAGGGGGAAGAACTGCTCTCTGTTGCAACTGTCGCTTCAGCCGTCATGGATGGCCGTTGGATGTCGTTCTCTGGCTGTATTGCTCGTCGTCGGGACCTATTACCTTGCACTTTTCCCACGCGAGATTCGACGTAGATGCAGGAGTAACCCAGGTTGGAGCATCGGCTGCATCCGGTCTTCTCACCGCTACACCGGACCTGCAATATCCCACTTGCATGTTACTTCCGAGGCTTCTTGCCAGGCGGAACCATGATGCTTGGCCGCCACTCACCTTGGAGAAATGGCATTGGTTGCATGCAGCCCGCAGCTTGACTGCTGGTGTAGGGTTTTCGCCGGCCATGGAAGCAATGCGACAAATTGACGTACTTGAGAGACAAGATGAGGTCAGAAACAAAAATAAGATCGCCCCCAAGGAGGGGATTAATTTTCGTTGCAGGGCATCTAATTATACAAACAGGAGGGTTACCTTGTCCTAAATGGCCTAGTTGGCTTGCTGAAGTGTAAGTTGATAGGCGGGTATAATGTTCATCCTGTTCCTGCACCATTTTCTATCGTTGCAGAGAATACGAATAATGCTCGTATTTGTTTATTTTCTCGTATTAATGGTAGAATCTCGAATCAATTCTCCTCATTTGCTCGCTCGCGCAGCTCATCTTTCTTAATTTGATTCTACCTTTGCCAAGATAGGCAAGCGTGCGCGGGGGACCATTTAAGTCGAACTGACACGGGCACCGGGAGCCAGCCAGCCAGCCAGCCCCTTGAATACCAATCTATGCGACAACCAAACAAATGGGGCCCTTGCTAGACCTTGAAATCTGACCTCCCTGCCCCTGAGAGCTATCTCCGCGCGGTTAAACGCGTGTTGACTCTTTTTTTTTTAATTGATTGACAGCTCATATTGGGAGCCTGCGCGTTGATCACTGCCGATAATCAGGCCCTGGCACTTCGGCATCTTCAGCCCTAACCCCACTAATCAGAGGCGCCGACCCCGGACCTCTAAGATTCGGCTGCTGGCCCATCCAGCCAAACCATTCACTAATGATGACCCTTTGGGCATGGCGGTAACCTGACTGGAAAGCCACGCACTAAAAAGGCTGCAGAATAAAACATCAGGCACTTAGGCCACCATAGGCCAAGATAAGGCTCAAAATTCATTGGGATGTAATGGTTCACTATAAATAAACATAGATAGAAATAGCCTTAGTGGATATCCTGCATATTGTCGGCGAGGAGGGTCAGGGTATGAATATTACCACCACCACTACCACCACCACCTGTAGGAATGAGCTCAAGCGAAATTGAATGTGATTTGAATTTTGGCACCTTCTCCGGACAGACTGCCTTTTTCGTCTCTCGTTTGGTAAGCCAGCGCTGCTTTTGAACTGTTCAATTTGTCTTCGGCTTCACCTTGGATTTCCCCTTTCTTACATTCACACTCTGGCGGCCGGCATTTTTTCCGCAACGCTAGATAGTAGGACTGACCAAGAAAGGAATTTTTTTTGTGTTACCCCAGGGTCCAGTGATTGGTGGCCCTGACCGATTCCCTCTTTCAGTGTGTGGATTGTCTCCCGGCGACCTTAGTTCCCGTAAGCTGCACCTTGGATCAGCACTTGGTTAAAATGCGGGGCAATTCATATGTTTATACTCCTGCGAAAGATCTGTGGAACTATTCCGCTTCTTCAAACCCGCTTTTGATCAGCGGCTTTCAGTGCAGCCACATTCTTGTGGTTCCCCAAGGTGCTCAATGAAGATGAAGTCTCGGGCAACCTTTCTACCTCATACGCCGCAGCGTCTTCGATGGATATTCACACCCGCCCCATACAAGTGATTGTCCCTGGGTAGATTATACGACGACGTGTTGGATGTGGGCTAGGACACTTGTGTTGTAATTCAGGAACCGTGAGGTGGAGAGCTGGGAAATCTAAACAAGATGCCGCGCTGGTCCTTCAACATGTTGACCCGCGAAGACCTGGGTGTCTTGTTCCACCCATGCCATGTAATAACGCTTCAAACACGGTGTCATTGTTCAACAGCATGATATTTGCTGCATTAGGAGGCAGACTCATCCAATGAGGATTTCCAATGGACATCTCTCAAACTGGCCGAAACCGAAGCTTCCCCCTGGCGATACCCCGTTATCTAACCAGATAAACAGCCACTTACTAAGATCAGTGATGTTGGATGGTTCGTTACCCTAAGCAGAAAAGGGGAGGGAATGGCTGGTTATATTAGCTATCCCAAGGTGCTACCTTTGTGGGGACTTAATCTTTATTGACTCCTTTGCCGGTTCATACTGTTTTAAATGCCCACTGCATCGAGTCGTCGACATCTTGCCCCGGTCAACTATGAGAGGGATAACCGAGACGTCCCTGTGGGTTATGGGCGAAACAATCACCTGACCTAACATTGACCAACCCTAACTTATTGGCAAAACACACATTATCCTCGTACCAATGAGGTAAGTTCCTGGGTACATTGGATGCTGGCTGACTCACAAGTCTTTTGCTCACCTTTCAGCCCCCTCAAACCTGCTGCCACAGCAGGTCTTAGGGCAAGCTCATTGCCAAATTTCGGGACAATCTTCAGTTTATCAGTCGCTATCCTATACTACATCGACTTTACCAGCTGCTCATAGCCCTATCTTCAGTCCACGTATAACCGACAGTCTCCGGGTATATCGCACGCCAAGTGTTTTAGTGAGGCGGATCGGCTATGTAGAAATCAGATTCTCGACGGACATGTTTCTGGCATACGAGAGAATCTGACCTAATCAATCTTTTCAATGTCCTGTACATCCCGACGGTCTATACTCTTTATCTCTATCAACTAGGCCCACATCCTCTGGATCCTGCATTCTATCCCGGAGCTAGTTCTCAATGATGGGAACAAGCAGCCATGCAAAGTTTTGAGCTTTGAATGTGGGGCTGAATATGTTCAGTCAGACATCCATTTGCCTTGCTCTATAGTAGGGACTTGGATTTATAACAACCGCGACAGCAATGTGATTGCAGTGATATAATTAGTATATTAACAGTAGTGACTACACAAGATGTTCCTGCCTTGAGTACCACATGCTAGGCATGACAAATAGGAAGTGATTCTGAAGCTGCGCTTATCCTCTGCCCCTGGTAGTCTATCAGGCCTTGTTGGTTATTACCAGATCCTGGTGTTGGTATGTATTTGACTTCGGCTGTTCCTTACGATAAGTGCCTAAAAAGTCCAGGTTAATTAATAACAAGACCATCCTCGTCTGTGCTAAGCTCCGCCATAAATCCCGAAGTTAAGCCCTCGTAGTGATATAATTAGTTCAGCTGGAGACATGTATATCGTTGCTCCACCACAACTAGCTTAAGAGCTGGAACCGACTTGTACATAACATGAAGGACTTGCGCAGCGCTGTCTTTCAGTTGCAAGCAGCGGATCGGGAGTGTATTAGTAAATGGGGTTGCAGAAATATCAATATTAATGCATCCATCAAGTTCAGCTAAGTGGGTTCCTTTAGTATTGAATCACTTTCCTTTGCTGTCTGCACTTAGAACCTGTTTCTGATTAGTTACTGTGTCCTTTATCTCAAGCTGCCTCAGGGCCCAGTTAGCATGCAGAACTACTTAGGAGAATAAACTGTACTTTACATCATCACAAGTCCTGACCACCACGCTCTGGGTGACCAAGCTGCTGGTTATCATTCTGACATGGAGATGCTTAATTCCGCTTCAATCCATGGGCTCCCATTGTGTTGCCTTGTCCAAGATAGTCATTGTGAAAGTAAAGTTTTTCCGGGGGCTCGGTTGATGCTGGGTGCGCTGGTTAAGTAAGGGGATGGAGCATGGGTGAAAGTATTTAGTATGGTAGTGCTTCTTTGCCACTCAGGTTGGTAACATGTAAAGCGATGGACGCTTGTCTGTTAAATGGTACTCGGGACAGGCAGAAAATCTATTCAAAGATGACTAAGCGAGGGAGCTAAGCCACAGGGGACGGCGTGTCGTTCTTACAATAAGTCGTCGGAAAGGTACCGTGGGAGACCTGAAAAGCGAATAGATAGTACGAGGTAAGTCAATTCCTGATTCAATAATCCGAACAGACAGGGAACCACTTGCCCTTTGCTGGGTGCAATGCCACCAGAGGTGACAGACCTGGCGGAAGAGGCGCGTGGGGGAGACCGCGACGCAGACGCGACGGATATTATCGTGGAAACTCTCGGGGCACCGCCCCCTCGACGACCAGTGCGGCAAGCAGTTAGGCCGGTCCATTACAGCCAGGAACAGGAAAAAGAAGCTACGGGGAAAGCACGTAAGAAAATCGCAAAAAAGGGGAGACAAATGACTCGGACCGTCTGGACTGGCAGAATGTGGCGTACGGCCTGTGTGACACGAACCAAGCTTTGCAACACCAGGTCTTGAGCCTGCACGAAGCAAACAAGGCACTGCAGCTATAGGTCTCCAGGCTAGCCAGTGATCTCGAAAAGAGAGACCGAGAGTTCAGCAGACGCAAAGCGGGATACCAGAATGTGGTCTCAGGGCTACAGACCAAGCTGAGCGGAATCAAGCAACTGATATCTGGTGAACTACTAGCGGCGAAGACCACGTGCAGCGGCATCCATGAGGGAAATGCCAACGCGAATGAAGGCGTCCTGCATGAGCTCAAGTCGATGCGGAGGGAAATCACAGAATTCAATGTAGCCGTCTGCTCCTAATAATTGAGCAACTCACTAAGCTAACAAGTATCTTGAGCATCGAGCGGGGCAGAAGTTAGGCGTCTATAGCCACCCCATCACCTGTTGTTTCACCAGTAAGTAGGGCATTCTGAGCAGACCTTAGCCTTCCAGTAATTGTCCTTGCCATCCGGCAAGCCACGCCATAAGCAAAGAGCATCCTCCAAGATCCCACTCTACTACAGAGAACGATCGGTACAGCACTGAGATCGCAAAAACAAACTGAGAATATTCGGACTGAGGGAATCAAATCAGCACCACGGAGTACCATCAAGGTGTTTGTAAGTAGAAACGAGGATGTTGAGACCCTCGCAGAACAGCAACAATGGCTGGACGCCCTACGGGGAATAAAGCTCCAAGGAGGACAGTGGTTCCCCGTCAAGCTAGATGAAGTCCGGAAATCCGACGTCTACGACGATACCGGCCTGCTGAGAGGTGACTTCTGAGACTGTTTCGCGCAGGAGAATGGGGGTGCACAAATCAAAAAGATCCGCTGGCTGAGCGGCGACAAAAGATACGGGTCCATGGCGGTTTACCTATCCAGGGAAGTCGATGCGCAGAACCTTTTAAGGCGCGAAGTACAATTAAGCCTTCTCAATGACAGCTTGCTGAGAAATATCAACTAGAACTATAGGAATGGGGACTACTGAGAAGGGACTTAAGTTGAAAGTCTTAAAGCATTATCATTATGTACGTCCATCTCTCCTTAATCGCAGTGCAGACATCCATGCCGTGGAAATAGACGTGTTAACCCCTGGCCACATACTAAGTACGGAGGAGAACTTGAGGAAGTGAAGCTAGAGGGAGGAAAACCTCGCCATGCTGCAGATTCGTTGATATATTCGTATCATTGTCACTGCGAACCATGGCGTTGGCATTGAGCTACCGCCACTGTGTCTGGGCGCTAGTCAGCGGAGTAAGTAGATTATGTCGAGAGCCTAGTAGGGCCTCTCTCCATAGGTTCGCTCACTGTCTGATTATGTATAGTGCCTACACTGGCATACCCGAACTGCTAAAATTGGATGCAACCCTCACCGACCTCGCAGTGGTGAGGGCTTGTCGCCTGTCTGTCAACTTTCGTCGTTGAAAGATGGCTAAGGTAGTCTGATTCAAACAACCCCGTACCCCAGAGTACAAGATTCAGTGAAAGCACCGGATATATCTTTGTTTCCTTGCTGCACTGCGTCCTACTGTGACCTAATCTTCCAGATCTCAAACGTCCACATAAGGCTTTAGGTGACCTAGGAGCACCTTGAGCACAGTCATCTAGCCCTTTAACACACTATAGAGGAGGGTCATGCGGCCAAGGTCATCCTGGCAGGACAAGGCGTGGCTTGTCATCCTTAAGTAGGATTTCCAGAATCACCAGATCCGAGCGAGAGATGGAGTGGAAAATTAGGGTGTGGCTTTATCAGTCTCCCGCATTAATATTCACTCCACCAGTTCACAAACCTCATGTGATCTGTTAGCCCGTCTGCGACATTGCAGACCCTCTGCTTCATTGCACCTGCACCGAACTTCGCCAAAGCGAAGCCCCTTCAAGGCGCATGGTGTACAAGGGTTTAGCTTAACTGTGTAGTCTTTCCCTTGATAAAGCCACAACATGGGAGTATATGGGCTTAACCAAGCCTATTTCCGGACGGAGATTTTGAACACTGCTGGTGCCATGACAGGCTATGCTATGGACCGGATTCCCTTTCAATCGAATTGTCGAAATCACCAGTTGATGGCCATTCAATAGAAAATTGCCCCGTGATGCTTCACGGGCGTCGCCTACTCTCAGGATATATGACATTTCGCTTCACAATGCTCCACCACCAAAGGCTCCAATCGCTCAGAGACAGTTGAAATGGCCGGTTGGTGTTTATACTGGACGGGAATACTTAGCAACTTCATCTCGACCATTCTATTAGGTCGGTTAGTTGGTTGGTTGCTTCATTTACACTGACCCCTCGTCAATGAGCGATTTGCAGGATACTACCACCAACTATCCTTGTGTCTCTATTGTAATAAACCCATTCCTTACGGACGAATTTTATGCATCACCTGGGTCCTGTGGTGGCCGTTCGCCTTCGGTTCTGACACTTTGCGTTGCCCCTTGGCCCACCGGTTTGCCACTTACCTTCTGGTTTGACTTTTCCTCCAGGAGTGAGCGAAAAGCGACCTATAGCGGCCACGATCACGTCTCATGATTTCTGGTTCGTCAATTAAGTAACAGTAGTGAGATCTGCCTAAATATTTGATATCGAAATCGGTGAATGCTGGGAGTTGGTGCCTTTGGTGGTCGCAATGTCACACTGGGGTTCAGCTCTTTTGGTCGTTGAACTGGATTGGTGTGACTTTCATTCACAGAGGATGCTGCCAGAAACATTCCGCGTCGTATGAGGTGCACCATAACTAGGATGATTCTCGAACTCGGCTTGACCATCAAACATTTGATTGTCGTTCTTGTGCCCCATAGCCAAGACCACAGTGTAGGTAGAGCATTACACGTTTTACTGAGACCTACAAGATTACGCTAGTAAAGATACGTAGGGGCAACCCTTCGCATATAAATACCCTTTTCATTCCGTCTCGTAGTCTACAGCGGGCGGCAGTGTTAGAAGCTCAGGGTTCGTGCCCGCCGGCAGTATATAAATGCTAAAGGTCCTCGAGAAACTTCGCCTTAGATAGCTCGTAGTTGGAGCTGGAGTGGAGGTGTTTATCGTTATAAATTCAAATCTAGAGGCTCTTATTTCAAGGCAGAACATGCCGTCAAATTATTCTGACGTCAAGAAAGGTGGCGAATTGCTTGGTCACTAGATTGTTACATTGTATCTAGTGGCACAATTCACCAGAGACAGAGCAGGTCTTAACCATTCATGGACTGTGACCGCACTTCAAATCATCCACATCCATGCAGACATACGCACAGGATCAGATTTCCCTCAATCTGAGAGCGTAAATGACTTTTCCTGTTCCAGAGCTAAAGATCTTCTCAAATTGTAATCTTTCATCAGCTTCATGAAATAGCTTTTCCCAATCGTGCTGAGATCGATAAGCGCGGCCGAGGATGGAAATCATATGCAGCTGGTGGGCGCTGAATAGCGGAGAGAGTTCATTCTCGGGCTCAATTCCATCACTCACTAAGCAAGTGGAATGGCCTGGAACCATTGCATCGGCAATATTCCTCAGGATAATCTTGCACGCCCTGGACGTAAGGGTTAGCGAAATTGTGGGAAGGATGGATTTGAACAGTCAATCCTGCTGCGTACTCATCATGATGATCCATAAGCACTGAGTTCAGGAGATAGACATCAGCCCCCTTCACCGGCTGGGATTCAAAAAAGTTGTGGCCTTGCCACCTGATCCGATGCTCATCCCCATCATCGTTGAGAGGACTAATATTTCTGACGGTATCGTCGTGGTCTTGAACAATGAATTGTATATGGGGAAATTGCCGCATCAATCGCCGGCTGTGATGGCCTTTTCCTCCTCCTACATCCACGAGCACTGCGCCGGGGCTCAAACTGGCAAACGGATAGGACATCTCGAGACTTGGATCTAAAGCAGTGGCCTCCATAGCGGTATCAAAACGCGCACCACGGGTTGTATCAACTTCGCGGATGTATTCGTAAAATGTCCGAGAGGCTATGCAATCTTAGTGTCTTTCAATCTTGCGTGTCAATGAATTTATCTGGAAGGAAATTCCTACTTCGAAAGGCTTTGCAAAAGCCGGCTTCATGAGGATTTTCATTGATATGAAATCGGTTTTCCGCAAGACATTCAGTCATGTGAGCGGCAGCACGGAGGCCATCATCAACACTGCCCTCATGCAAGTCGCCATATGTCAGACCCGGTTTCAAGTAATCTGGACCTACACTGCTGCCTGTATCCGTGCAGCATATGCGATGGCAAATCTCACAGATTTTGAGACGACCGCTTACATCGAGTGTCATGGAATGGACACAGCGGTTCGTATCGCGATTGACCTTGCAGCTCTGTATAACATATATCACCAGCTAACGTATATCAGGCTGGTGAATTAAAGGGGATCTCCGCGGTATTCGGCCAAACACGGAGCATGGACAACCCGCTCATCGTGGGCTCGGTATGGTTCTCGACCACAACGTATCATTTTAGATATGAGCTCACACGTGTTGTAGATAAAAAGTAGCATTGGCGATTCCGAAGCAACGTCTGGACTATCGGGACTGATCAAAATTGTGTTATCCATAGAGGAGGGCTATATTCCGGGCACTCCAAGCTACCCCACGCTGAGTTCTAAAGGTAGGTTTAGCTTCGTCCCGAGGCGTTCTCTGGGGCTAATGCAAGTACGATTTTCAAGCCAATTATCAAGAACTGAACCTGTGCTCTGTCAAGAACACAATTTCCTGGCCGAGAGCATCGATCAAGCGAGCGGGCATCAATTCCTTTGGCTATGGAGGAACTAACTGCCACATAATCATTGAGGATGCCCAGCAGCTGTTGGACGCACGAGGAATTATTCCCCATCGACGATCCTTTCTATCCACCTCGAGGATGTTATGGATGGATGAAGATGATGGCGAGGATCATGCAGCGTCTCAATCCACTTCATGCACCTCACATGTTCTGTTTGTCTCTGCCCAAAGCCCGTTATCACTACGGTGCAATAAAAGAGAGATTCTAAGGCATCTTGCTAGCCTAAATGTCCGAGTTGACTTGGGGAACTTGGCTTATACTCTCTCTGGTCGACGGAGTCATCATTTCCATCGAGCGTATGCAGTGGTAACCAGTTCCACTCTCTCCCAGGCACGGTTTGTGGACGGGAGGATTTTAGCGTGGGAACCTAGAATTGGCTTCATTTTCACAGGGCAGGGAAGCCAATGGTCCCAGATGGGGACTGCACTCATCAAATCATTCCCCGAAGCTGCGAAACGCATCAAGCACCTGGACAATGTGTTGCAGAGTCTACGAAACTGTCCCGCGCTGGTCCCTTCTCAGTGAGTCTACGTTTAAACACGAAAGGCATCCAGGTTGCTGATTGAAACTGCACAGACGAACTGACCGACACAAGGGACCCTAAAACTCTTCGCCGGCCGGAATTTTCGGAGCCCCTGAGTGCGGCCCTCCAGCTCGCTATCCTAGCTGTGATGGAAAATCACAGCGTTCGCCCTCACTGGGTTGTGGGACACTCTTCTGGCGAGATTGCAGCTGCCTATGTGGCTGGATATTTGACTTTAGATGATGCAATTAAGATTGCTTACTTCCGTGGCCAAGCCGCGCAGGGAGCCTGCGATACCTGGAAGGAGAGGATGGGTATGATGGCCGCGGAGCTGGATCCGCAAATCATTTCCAAATACTTCATAGGATTGGAAGACAAGGTCCATATTGCTTGTCACAATAGTCCCAGCAACGTTACACTTGCAGGGGTTCTTTCCTCCTTGGAGGAGGTGCAGGCACGTTTACAGCAAGACAAACATGCAAGCCGTATGCTACAGGTTGATATCCCATACCATTCCAAGTTCGTCGCAGCCACTGCAGAGGCATTTGAGCAGTTCGCTCTTCAGGAGAGGCCTTTTGTGCAAGATCTAGGTTGCAGTGGAGACGTCACAATGCTGTCGACCGTCACTGGCAGCCGATTGGAGGGCCGGACTTGCAACAGCTCATACTGGAGAGCCAACATGGAGTCCCCAGTTTTATTCCGTCACGCAATGGAAGATTTACTCCGTCATGATCTACACCCCGATATTCTTATTGAGATTGGCCCAAGTGACACATTGAGAGGTCCAGTTATGAAATTAAAGCACAGTCTAAGCCGTGGAGATTTGCCCCTGAAGGACACTGACATACAGTATCTATCGGCTCTTCATAGGGGCGACATGTCGGCCCACAACATGTTACACTTACTAGGCAGCCTTTATCTGTCCGGATATCCCGTTCAGATGCAAGGTTCCTATCCACCGCCCAGCGAAGAGGCTCACTCTGTCATTGTGGATCTCCCTAATTACTGCTGGAATCATACGGCAAAATACGGGTACAAGTGTGAAGTAAGGCAGGCCGAGCGGGTTCGCAAGGCGCCCCAGCGCGACCTCGGGAGTGAACCCAGCCTTGGCGCATCCATGGATAATCAAAATGGTCCCATAGCACGCAATACCGACGAACTCAATCAAAGCATGCAGAAAACTCCAGAGACAACAGTTTCCCCTGGAGAATATGGTGATCTTCTCAGTAAGAAGCTGAGCAACATGTTGCGGTTGACGGGGCCAATCGATCCGGAAAAGTTGCTCTCAAGCTATGGATTGGATTCTCTGTCCAGAATCCAACTACGCCATTGGTTGAATACACAGCTATCAGTGGATGTATCCACTTTTGACATTATCAGCACACTCACACTGGCCTCTTTGCGTGAGATGATTGCTGGAAAGTTGAGGGTAGTTTAACAGCGCTGGAGGAGGCTGCTCGCATTCTGCGGCACCAGACTGCTAACTGCTTTGAAGCGATTTCATCTTGAGAGATTCCGTTGTATACTGCATTTGCTTTGTACAACCAACAACACCAAGTTGGTCTCGCTCAAGCTGTTCATAGATAGAAACCAGATTGTCAGCCACTATTCTTTGATTCGGAGGTGGGGCCCCGTGCCTCCTTGTGGCCTCCAGGGCAGATGTAGTCCGCCCAAGAACACTCTCATACCCATCGACGCCGAGCAGCAGAACCTCCACAACCGCAAGCATCAAAGACAGAGAAACAGTAGTGAAACTCGACGCGAACGCTGCGGCCGTTCTCCGCAAGGTATCGCCGGAGGACCTCCGTAAACGAGTGAATGATCCCCTGGGTCACGGATAAACCTCCGGGTGAAAGCCCCATGGGTCATAGCAGCCAAACAGCTGAAGAGCGGCGACACGTACTACATACCGCGAGCACGGCAGAGGCAGACACATAGAAGAGTACTGAAGGCGAATGGGCCAGAGCCCTCGGAACAACAGCACGGGTGATAAAGCCCACGTATGGAGTGATCGTCCACAGAGTACGCACCGACAAGGAATCAATCAATACGGACAATCAAGAAAGAGCCATCAAGAAGAGTCAATCAGAGAACGCCATACTCCACGAAGGAGCGAAGGTAGCTTATGCAAGATGGCTAACCAAGGAAGGGAGAAAGAAAGCAGTCTTCTCTCTTGTCGTGGAATCCACGACAAAATTTCACCTTAATCGGGTCATCAGGGAGGGACTGTCGAAGCTGCCAAGGTGTCCCACCGGATGCTCACTGGGTGTGGGTGAAGATATTCATACATCGTAATTTGAGTGAGGACCTGCTTTAGCCTGGATTTCGGAGTATATGGCCATGGCCTGATCGTATGTCCCATGTGACGTCCAGCCATCCCTTCCCATGATTCCTGATAAGGAGTCCCAAAAGTCCTGTACTCAATTCCAACCTTCCCCATCTTCGTAATGTCTCCGAATTTCTTCCGGGGAGAAGTTGATGGGACACTGGACGGTATGGTTAAGAGATTCCCACTTTCTGCACCTATATTTCAATACTGTTGATCAAAATACGAGGGAGTTGTTCTTACTTTTGTACCCTGATCAATAATCATCGTAATGGTAGGATACCTCCATCCCGTGTGTTGCCAACAAATCGAACTGGATCGCTCATTATCATGCCGTTTGGATATTGGAGGACTCTGCTCAATAATGGATTTCTTTCCGCAGTAAACTTTTCGTAGAGATATGATTGACCTAATGACTTGATCCTTAACAACGGTCTGCGTGTTCTCATTAAGCTGCATGAAATCCTCGGGCAGTTCCAGTAACAGGTCCCCACTGTAGTAGAGAAAGTACGGATGACGGGCCTCGAGGAACAGGGACCAGCCCATGTAATGGGAAGCTCACGTGCCTAATTTTATCTCAAGAGGATTCTCTCAAGAATCTACTCCTCTTGTTGGATGCCTTCCGAGCCAATCTCCACATGACAGATCCTTTCATATAAGGCCACTGCCATTAACATCTAATCCAACTAACTTTGTGGGAAGAGCACAAATACTTGATAATGACTGTCTTATTCACATCCAAACACACTGAAACTGCGAGCGAAAATACCAGCCGGTGGACCACATGTGCATAAGAAGATAGAGAAATAGAGAAGAGCACATACCCTTTTTTTAATATATATCTTCTAAATTAAGTTTAGCATACTGGTTCACAAACTCATCAAATAGCTTGTTTAGTCCGAGCAGGTTCAAGGGATCCTTATCGCCTTGTTCATACATGAAGCAAAGCATATTATGGATATCGAATGTAATGGCCAACAAGTATCCGTACTCGGACTCTAGAAACACCTGATCACCGGTATCTAAATCACCTGTCAGCTGGTTCCACTGTTGAGCATACTCATCACAGAAGTGTTTCTTCTCCTTCTCTGTATATTTCCTGCTTTTGGCGATCTTGCTCTCCTCATCAAACCATTTGAACATCTTTTGCATAAAGTGCCCACCGATGTCAAACGCACGATAGTTCTGCATCACGAACTCAAAGTCAATCAGGAGGACTCTGCTCTCCCCTTCCCTCGGAGCATTTTTCACCATCACATTCATGAATTGGACATCATGTATACACCATCCGGTCTTTCCCCAATGGATGCCAGCTTGTCCACCACATTTCTCAGCCTCTTCCCAAAGTTGTAGTCAACTAGGTTGTCGATCATCACTCCTCCTTCCTTGCCGAGTGCCTTCAATTTTTCCGCCCTGTGGTAATTCCCGAGGCCGTTGATGATGGCATCATAGTAGGATTCCACCGTCCTTTTCTCCAGTGAGGTCTTCATGACATGAAATATCGCCAGCCCTCTAGCAACATCTGCTCGGATGACCGAGTTCTCAACATCCTCCGGCTCCATGTTACGTGCATCCAGGAACTCCTCGACTCTCCCGAGTGTGCCATCCTGTGTCTTGAAGAATCCGTAGACTTTGGCTCCCAGTCCGGTTTGACCGTACTCGTAGCAGAAAAGTGCTTCCTCATGCTTGGTTGGTACCAGAGGCTCGAAGATTTCGAGCCCACCACTGGTGTCATTATGGAATTTAATGAACACCTTCAAGGGCTCAGTAGGTGTGCCAGTATCGGGCTTCGGTCGCTCCACGGGACAGTGGCCGTTAACAAATGATGCATGGTATGACACAGTCAGGGTCTCTGGCTCCACAGATGGCCATTCCCCTGTCAGGAATGTGCCGATAATGTCCCTGACGTTTCTTTTAGTCGGTACTTTGTCTTCGGGAAGAGTTACAGGAACGGGGATCGCGGTGGCCATCTTGCATTGATGTGTAATGGGATGACTTGGGAGATAAGAATAGAGGAAATGACGTGGCTAGGATGAAGTATGCGCCTGTGGTACCTACGTTCATTTATCAGAGACCGCAGTTTTGAGTTTCACAGTCAATCGCAGAAATAATTGGTGCGGCGCTGAAGATTCTGCCTTGTGATCCACAAAAAGGGTGTCGGGGTCCCAAAGCTGTCTAGTACCAAATTGATTGTCTATTTTCACATGATTTGTAGTCTACATATCTTCATAGATAGACCAAGTTATATGAAATCATCTGTTAATACGCCCAATAGTGATTTCGACCTCGAACCTCGGAAGGGATATCTAGGGAAGGCTTCAGGTTTTACTAATTGTATATCCTGGATGATGTGCGGCCTAGGAGTTACTGAACTTACTGTGCGGAGGATATAACCCATCTGGTCTAGGTCACTATCAAATCCTCATGCTTGGATGGTATACTTAAATACACATCTTCTTCATTGAGGTAGCACTGAATAAATTAATCATCTAGAAGGTGAGAGTCTTATAGGAAGAGACTTTCTCTTGCAATAGCAATGGTGTGTAGACCTATGTATCCAGCTGGAATCAATTAGAGTTGCATTTGGTGTGGGTTCAGGCGGGTTCAAGCCTAGTTGGCCCCGGACCGCTTTTCTGGTTCAAATTTTAGAGCCTGCAACCAAACCAGGTCGGGTTGCGATTTTCACTGCAAAACCCACCGTTGGGCCTAGATAGGCAGCCACTAGCCTACCTAGGTGGGCGGTATGCCTAGGCAATATCAAAAATTTCAATAGTTTTTAGATTTCAATTTCTCCTACCTTAGGCCTATGCCCAGGGCCTATTAAACATGCTTATAGAAAATTAATATTTTTATATGAAATATATAGTAATTATAGTTATTTTAATCTATATCTAAAATATCAATTCCATATCTATAGGGCTGAATAGGTGGTGGCTAAAAAACATTTTTAAACGTGGTGGGTGTCAATGGTTGATCACATATATATATAAACCACCACAACTTTCAAACCAACCTATAACAGAAATGCTTATTCCATTATAATTCACCAACCACTAGATATTTTTAATCACTATTTCACCTTTAGATAGACTAGATACTAGGCTATCTAGTGATATTAATATTTCTAGAGAAATCCTAGAAATTAGTGATAACTAAGCAAAATGGTTTTCTAGTGGTTTAACCCCTAACCCTACGATATCTCAAGGAACGAGGATCTCTTCAGCTTAAGAGCGATTTTCTCAGAGGTTCTGCCAGCGAGCAGACGGCCCTACCTACTATAATCCGGGGGCTATCTGCCTCGGCGTAGCCTCATAGATCTCTCTCTTCCAGTAGCTACGAATCCATGCAGCTTCGTCCTTCAGGTCCCTCAAGAGATTATGAGCCCTCTACTTTCGTTTTTATGTTTGTATAAGCTTTCATTTATTAATTTCATTAGCAAAGAATCACGAATAGAAATGAATAAACATACAGATCAGAATCAGAATCACGCTGCAGAAATGGCAGACACTACCCAGGCTGCAAAGTTGGATAAAGATTGCAGATCCCATAAAATCCTATATATTTCTCGCCATAGAGTACATAGTAATATCGCCTGTGTGGGCACTGGCTGTAGAGATTCGGGGTAGTCTGCTTGATTCCTAGCTGTGCTGTTAGACACTGCCTTTCCTATTTCTCTCCATTACTGGCCATTACTTTCGTTCTCTTGCTATTTCTGTTATACAGTTGTCCTGGGCGGCTTCTTCCTGGTCTGCTGCTAAGTCTTCTTTCACCCTTTCGAGGCTCACCAGCCACGCAAATGAAGGCACTATCACTGCAGTCCTAGACTTGGAGGATTTCAAAGCTGCGTGTTACAAGCGCCGCAGAACAGAGACAGAGACAGAGGCAATTAGCCCACCACAGGCCTCAAAGAGGCTCCAAATTTGTCAGGATGTAATGATACGCTGTATTTGTACATAGAAGGATATGTCTAGTTGTAGTAGCCTTTGTACCCTTCGGGAGGGTCAGGGTAAATGAAAAACGCACTGTATGTGGATAATGATTCCCAAGGGGGTAGCTGAAACTACTGTTGCATATATTGCAGTTTTCATGCGGATATTTCCGGACAGTGCTCACTAACTCTCATGTATGATTGATTCAGTTCGCGGACCATGGCGATATCTGAAGACTAATGGAGGACTACATTCACATAAGGTAAACAACAATATAGAAAGAATCAAGAGAAATGCAAAAGATAACATCCTCTACGTGCAAGTAGCCCCAACAGTTCGAAACGACGTTCCTGCAGTGCGCCGAAAATGACGCCCAACTTGGCATAGGCTTCACTGCGCTCCCTATTCATTAAGCGTTCTCAACAGCCCTGGTAAAGCATAGCGGACAGGTAGACTGAAGCTTGGTTTCCTTGGCCAGCAATATCGCAAGATGAATACTGTCCCGAGTAGATACCCTGATGATGCACTTTGGTACCGGTACAGTAACGATCGTTGTACCATTCAACAGTTGGATATGGGTTCCCAGTGGTCTCTCTCCACAACCAGCTACTCTCCCAACTGAGTGGACCAGCACCCGCCGCAGTCACGCAGGCACCGCAGCCAAAGTTCCTAACGGTGAACTCCCGAGTCGCACATCCCCCATAATAAGACGGGGCAAAGGCGTTCCCGCCGCCTCGTTTCTCCAGGCTCCTTTTGAAAAGGGTGGTGGTCGAGAGGTCGAGGGTTTCGCCGGCAGAGATGTTATACTGCGGCACACGTGCCATGGGCTCCCATCCTTCAGTCATGTCCAAAGTCAAATACTCTAGCCACTCTTCGCGCGTAAGACCTGGTTTTTCGGCCTGCCCGGCGGGGAGGGCAATGGCTTGTTGCACTGCCAGAATTATGGCCAACGCTGAGATGGAGACCTTCATGATGAGAGAGTTGATGCCTCTTGTTATCAACTAGTACGAGATGTAGGTCCAGTGATCTCGGGGGCGAGCCCTTAGGAAGAAGGAGAGCCTGAAATATTGAAGAGGAGGGGTGTGAGTTCCAGGTCAGGAGCAAGGACTTCTTTGAAACTGGAATATATGTTATCGTCGTGGGACGTTCGGTCTATTTATACAACCGAACGGTCAGCCCTGAATCCTGCATTGTACAACTGAGCGTCCAACATCATTTTCAGCGCGATGCACTAGCGGCCGCAATCGTCTACCTGGCTGAAGGGTAAGATGCTTAGCTGACTGTATTTGGCATCATCTAGCAATGCACCATCAGTTTGATGCGAGCTGGCTGAGACATGGTTGTTCTTCTCGCAATCGAGCTAGAGAGAGGAAATGATCCTTGGTGGCCATTTGCCTCTCCTTCCTTTGCTGCAGCAGCTTCATCAAGACATACGTCATCATGTCGACCCATTATTGGCCGAGGAAGCCTGACTTAACTAATGCGTAGTTGGGGCAAGTTGGGCACTGCGGATGGTGAAACACTTGCGGCCGCTAGGTGCTTTTCTTCTTGTCTCCAATACAATGCCATGAGGAACTCACTATATAAGAGTCCAACAACCCTGCGCATATAGGCTCAGACACAACCTCAGCCCAAGCCTTGACTTCTATCGCTGTTGCTCTTGCAGGCTCACACTTTTTTCTCCCTCAATAAAGATCCAATTTCAATCTCGACTTCCACATCATGAGGGTCAACGTCTTTGCTTTGGCCATATCTCTTATGGCCGTACCACCTGCCTTCTGCCTACCGACCGACCAAGTCGAAAAGCCCGGCCTTACCCACGAGGAGTGGCTGGAATATCTTACTCTCAACACTACTGACGGCTGGGAGCCGATGACCCGCGTCCCGCTCTACGAGATTACTGAGCCTGGCCAAGTCCTCGACCTGTCTGACACCACCCTTTATAAACAGAGCTTGGCCAAACGAGCCGGCGCAAACGCCTTCGAGGCCTTCGAAGATGGAATCTGCTCCTCGCGCCAATTCCGAATCGCCAACTTCGGCTGTGGAGTGTGCGTTTCAGTGAAGTACGATGTGTGCAATACGTGCACTTGGGGCAGCAGCTGGCTATGGAGGCAAACCAATGGCAATCCATATCCAACTGCTGATTGGTATGATTCGAATGATTGCACAGGTAACCGTGTTCACCATCAAGGGATCGAATCTGGGCAGTCGTCTTCCTGTGATACCGTGGCTAGGTATGGCGTTTCTCGCTACCAGTCGGCAATGCTTTACCAAGGGTGTTGATTCAGCATGTCTTCAGCATCAGTCAAAATTAGATCAATTTTATCGTCTGGTGGGGCCCTTTCAGTCACGTTGTCGTGGATGGTTTGTTCTATCAATCCCGATCACTGTTGACACTGAATGTATCTTACTTTCTGTCAAATTCGAGGTCATGTACTGCTTAATATCAATGTGACGAGAATATGCATATATTTGTCAGTTATGAGTCGACCTGTGCACCTCATGGCTTCGCTCTCTTCATACAAGACGAGAAAACCTGTCTTAGAGGTAGTAGAAAAGCCCAGATCATCGAATGGTAGACATAGCGATCAATTGTGTTTTCCCGGGGTCGGCCCGGCTAGCGCCGCAAAAACTTCCTCAACAGAGCATGGCGATTATAGATAGAAACTTCATCTTGTATGCTCGTACTGAGATATCCTAAGAGAAGAGGATTGGTCACGATTGAATGCGCAGTATCGCGATATCTAGATAAGATATCAATGATCCACACGTGATCTGCTTATGCCGTTTTGGGGAAGTTTTGCGGCGCTAACGAGCAACGTGTCACCTTTGAGATTCGATCGATAGACTACCGTCGATCAGGCCAGAGGCGATGGGCCATCAGCCAACAAGAATGCAGAATCTAGACTACTACTAGCGGGCTCCGGTCATCTGGGCCTGTCTGCGTTACCGCCGGACCTGTCATGGTTCGCGAATCTGGGAGAAGTCGGGGCTGCGAGCCCTGTCGCCAGAAGAGGATTAAGGTAAGCAGCCAAGTGCCCAAAGCATGGGTTGACCCACCTGTATGGAGTATTCCATGAAATATTCCACGCGTAGTATCTTTTGATCTGCCCGTACACCTTGCCGTCTACGGGTATCGTCTATGTTTGCTAAGTCTGGCGGTCCGCTTAGTGCGATGAAACAGAGCCGGAATGCGGCCAGTGTCTCCGTCGCGGCAGGAAATGCCCTGGTCCATTGAGGGGGCTCATTATCTTTGAGACTAAGCCCGAAGACCCCACTAAGTTCCGGCGCCTGGCTGATGGCCGTGACCAAACCCCGAGATCACAGTCCTTGATTAATGAGAACGTTCAACTGGTACCTTCGGCGCCTCCGGACAGCGATCAGGTACTGAGGGCGGGCTCTCCAGACCCATTCGCTGCGATGGTGGTACCACTCACTGGGCGCACCAATGCCCACTTTCAGCATTGTAGGTGTTATACAGACTCTTTGCAGTGTGCCAATGGTTGCGCGGTTGTATGTTACGTGAGGAACTGATTCTGTTGTGCACGATGTAGTCATGCTGCACACTGTGAGATGCTGCTGGCCGTTTCGTCCCGAGATGCTGGGGATTTGGTGCGGACAACAAGCTACTACTCAGCCAGCTATATTCTATGGGATGATATCGATGTCTGCATCACACCAATTCCATCTTGATTATGACCACGGAACAAATAACCCTAATGCATCCCAATGGATGCTGCAGGCCCTTGAGTCTCGTTCTAGGATTATTCAGAATATTCAGGAGACAATCGATAACATCGCCACATCAAATGTTGAGTTGATCATCATCACCATTGCCATGCTTGTTTGTGTGGAGGTGTGAATCCCAACTCCTTGATGCTGGAGCTCATATGCGGACTGAGCTGATAATATATCCCTTCTTTTCAGGCCTCCAACGCAAATATTGCGGAAATGGATATTCACATGGCTGGTCTACAACAGTTGATTCAATCCTTCGGTGGGGTTGACCGTCTGGACCTGTCCACAATCTCCTTTCTGGTGGGGTAAGGATATATGCACTGCTTTCCAACCGACCCATCTCATACTGACGCTACGGTCCTTTAGTGTGGATATCTTGTGGGCAATTGTGAAATGTACTCCTCCTGCTCTCCCATTGGCGCCAAAATATTTGGAGTACGCCATGAATCATCCAGCTCTCACCGTCCATCCCTACAACCCACCGGAAGAGGACATCTTGAGCCTACCCAGTGACAAAATGTTTTGCAACTTGGGGTCCCGTTTCCGAAATTCTACATGGGCCGTGCTACTTGACCGGTCTCTCAAAGCCGCGATTCAGAATTTCTGCAACCTTATTGTGCACTACGAGACCGATGAGCAGCGACTGGGGGGCAAGAGGATCGCCACGTACGGGGATAATAACCCTTGGAATCTATCGCAGCGTTATCTCCTCTCGTTGTCTTACGAGCGCCTCGGCCCTGGCGACATCAGAGAATCGCTCCGCCGCTCAATGCTCGCGTACTCCATGACGCGCTATTGCAAATTTGGCGCATTCCCGTGCATGGACGAGGTCGCCGCCAGACTCAGGGAGAGCCTCGTTCCTAGACTTGACACCTTTCTTTCGACCGCACCCGACCTACTCTTCTGGATTCTTTATGTTGGTGCTTTGGCAGCAAGACAGTGCTCCGAGCACTACGTCTGGTATTGCGCCCATCTGGGCGGCGTTTCATCAAACCTCGGCCTTGTTGATTTTAGGGACGTGCTATTGCTCCTTGAAAACTTCTTTTATATCCATCGACATGGGGACACAGCTGCGGAGAAAGTTTGGCAAAGAGTCTCATCACAAAGACTAAACAATCTTTCTATCATTTATCATGAGAGTGTTGGGTGAGCGTACCTGAAGTGGGTAGGATATAATAGCAATGAAATTTGTAATAAGCAGACTATGTTATTTTTCCTGCCCGGTGACTCTAGACATGCAGCAATTTCTGGTTAAACATGAGTAATGTTGGTTATCCATATGGATACATATACTGGTTCTACCGAGCGAAAATGTAGGGATCATGACCACAAGCACTTCCTGGCCTGGTGATAACTTTCTACACATTAGAAAGGCTTAGGCCACGATTCATCGGCGGATCTCCTTATCTCCGGGATAAGCCTACACGCTGAGTCTGTCAAGGAACGGGCACAGGGCCGGGATGTTCTACACTCGGCCGTTTGACCATTGCCCAAAAGAGGAAATTTTTGCGGCGTTAGAGTTTGACAGGGTGATGCTTATTCAGCATGACAGGGGGAGTGGGCCCTGACATGACCTTCATAGACCCACAACTAGTGAGCTTTAGGCGCAGCTTCGATATAAATCCTGCCCGAAGCAATTTATTGGTCCACATCGTAGAATATGCACCTCATGGAGTGATCTTTTCGAGATTTCACCATTATCAATTTCCTATTTTATACCTGATGCCGTAGGGGGCTGCTTGCTTGCCACAGCCGATAGCTGGACTTCTTCGGATTACGTTAACTCAGCTCATCAGCTGGCGGACATAATGAAGAGCCACAAGGAACGGGACCACCGGTTGTAACTCGTACAGATCAGCCAGCCACAATCTCCGGGGGAATTATGGGGCCTTGCGTGGTACGCAGGGCGTTAACCCATCCTCAGCCGGCCGCAGACGTGCTGAAACGGCTTGAGTCGATTTCCGGCACACCGTGGCACCTGGAAACTGAATATTGAAAAAGGGGGAGAAGACGGAAGGGGGAACGAAAGATATGGAAATTCGCGCATGAAGACGACCCCATTACTTCAGCTGGTGAGGAACTTACGCTCAGGTGTCGGGAGGATAGGTCTATATAGTCATACGGGATACTCTCTCGGTGTCCGTGTCTGGTATTCACGACACCTCCCTCTCTATTGCTCCCCGCTGCTGTGCAGGGTAGAGTTGTCAGGATGAGCGAGGTGTCTGGCGTGGTTGAGATCCGCAAATCCCATGCGATGAATGTCTGCAAATTGTGTCGATCGCAGAAGCGCAAATGCGACAAGAGGTTGCCCAATTGCACTCGGTGTGAGAAGTATGAGCCCTTGTCCCAGTGAGGTATAGTCATCGATGGGCTCACATTGCTCTTGTCGCAAGGTTGGAATTAAAATGCAACTATGACTGGTATCCTGGAGAAGACCAAGCCCGCCACCAATACAAGTCTTTATCGGACTTTCTTCTCTTTCATGTCCCGGTGGCATCAGGTCAGCAACGGCTACCTGGCATCTTTCTGCCCGTGCAATCCTACAGACAGAATATCGACTCCCGGAGCCTTTCTATTGACCGATTCGTTGTGGACTTGGTGATGACTGCTTTGTCTGAGCGAAGCGTGTCAGTAGACGCTATTCTATGTGTTTATTTCAGGAATATTCATCGGTGGTTGCCCGTTATCGCGGAGCAGAAGTTCCGAGCACAAATATCACATATTCATAGTGGCCTTTCCGCGGAACTGGCGCTTCTCTTACTGGCAATGTATCTTCTCATGGAGAACGAATGGGACGAAAGCAGCAACCAGACGGGAGGCCAGCAACATCTTGACCAACATTGCAGCTATTTGGTCTCGTTTTTGCTCCTGGCGCGCGGACCATCCTTGGAACTCGTACAAGCAGGCTTGCTACTCATCCTATATGAGTTGGGATCTGGCTTCTTGGAAGCCGCGTTCTTGAGAGTAGCAACATGTGCTAGGCTTGCGTATATACTTGGACTACAGGTTGATGAATCCTTCGTGGACGACTGCTCTGGTGCGTGGTGTCATGCGGAAGAGCGGAGAAGAGTCTGGACTGGGTTATACATGATGGACCGGTCAGTAGAAGCAAATCACCGCTTGGATTGGTGGGAAGACTGACTAACACCATTAAGCCTTGTTTACCAGGCTATGCCAGGTATAATGGCCCCGCATGCGGTTGAAGAGCCAGACGATGGCTTCCCGCTTCCAATTGGCGACCAGGAAAGCGAACAGAAGCCAAACAAAGCATTTCCGTCGTTCACAACCTCACTTAATGTTCCATTGTCTTATTACACTCGCGAGATCCAAGCGGTTAGAATTTTAGGAAACGTGCAGATGCTGCAGAATTTAGCGCGACTGGATTCGTTTCAACAACATTTTCATCTGATAGACAGCAATTTGATGCAGCTGATGCAGCGATTGTTCGAGCAAAGCGTTGGCTGGGAAGCTTATCTTGGCGCCACTGCAATTGCCCTGATGTATGCACCAAAGTCTACACGTCTCCATTTTTGCTGAGTCCTAAGGCTAAATCGCGAAAATCAGGGCTGTTCTTACTCTTCACCGCAGTCAAGTGGGATACGGAGCTCCAAGCGTCATAGCACAGCTTCCGGATATACTGCACAGAGCCCCTCTGTCCATGGCCGCACTATCCTCTGTCATTACCATGGTCCGTGACATTTGCTTACAACTGAATGCACTCAAGACCAGAGAAGAGATCGCCAGGGTCCCGCTACCAGCTGTTATGTGCATTGGCGAGACAGCTCTTACAGCACTTTGGTTGAAACAAGCAGACCCTGACGAGTCGCATGTGGATAGTCTACCTTTCAAGCTAGCATTGGGACGTGTTAAGCACTACTGGATCCTCGCAGGTATAGGCTATACAAGTTTGCGGTAGCCATTGCTGATATTGAAACTAGATTACTATATTAAGAAGCTTGTCCGGAATGAAGCTGCGCACCTTGACTGTGGCATGCAAGACTCCGTTCAGAACCAGATACCCTGGTAAGAGGAGAAGTGTTGAATACGAAAGAAAGCAATGAATAAAATACTCCCAAAGGAAGTCATTGATGATAGATTTGAATTACTGGCCTAGTCGCACCTACGCCTGTCTATACTATAAACAAAACCCCAGTATTCAACAGAAAAGCATTACAATCGCCACAGTCATCGCCTCATATCGCTAGGTACGGTGCTCCAAGATTCGGCAGCAAATTCAGCGCCTGGGTCAAAGTGTCGGAGCCTGCTAATAGGTCCTGGTGAGCCATCAAGGAGGTTGGAGGTGAAGCATTACTCGGGAACTCAACCATCACCACCTGTGCTTTGTTCTAGAGCTCCAACAGGCCTTTCAAATCTTGCACCCGGCTTTGCAGACCCATAGTCTCTTGTAGAGTTTTGTAGGCATCCCACAGATTGCTGTAGCTCTTGTTCCATTTATTTAAACTTCTAAAAGCCAACAGAGATTAGAGAATTCTCAGTGTCTTCTAGTCCAATTCAATGTGTTGCCTGTCAGTGTTGTGCTGTTGGTGGCCAGGGCTGGGATGTGGCGTGACGGAACATTCCCTTTCCACATGGCCGTCTGACATAGTCTAGCCATCCCCAAGATACCGCTCTTTCAACCTCACTCATTTACGATGATACCATCTATCGGGAAAGGGACATGGAGCACCGGCTTCGACAGTGGCCTACCTTCTTCCTGGGTTTGGGTATGGCAGCACACATCGCATTATTGCTTATCATCGCACCATTCATAGTTCAATCATCATGCTTTTGCTTAGCGCCGCAAAGTCTTCCGAAAACGCACTAGCGTCAGGAAATAAAACTTTCATCTAGCGTTGTGCTTTATGTCAGCTCAGCTCTATCCTTGCAGCCTGAGGGAAGCCTGAGCGGAGATAAGAAGATCATTGAGGTTTAATAGCTTCTCCACATCACTTCATGGATGTTGCTGTGCATGCTATGGTCATCTTGACAGAAAGCAGTAAGCAGCCACTTGTTTTATTGGCCGCTAAATCCGCAGGGATCGGCCGCTAGCTCCGGCGCTTGGAAATGGCACCCCGGAAACGCAGTGAATACGATAGAGAACAGTGTCTACATAAACCTCCCGAATCCACCAAGCACTTGAGGTTTACTGTCCAATTTCATACTTCTACCAAGCTCGAAATAGTCTGCCGGCAATCGAAATGTCTCCACTCTCCGGTAAAGTTGCCCTCGTCACGGGTGCATCCCGAGGCATCGGACGCGCAACGGCTCTCGCCCTCGCCAAGGATGGTGCCAACGTCGTCGTGAACTATGTCTCCTCCGCTGCAGCCGCAGACGAAGTCGTATCCGAGATAGGGCCTGACCATGCAATCGCCGTCCAAGCGGATGTATCCAAGCGCGAAGACATCACGCGCTTGATCAAGACGACAGTCGACCGATTCGGCAAGATCGATATCCTCGTCCTCAATGCAGGTTTGCTCTGGCAGAAGGGGGGTCTGCTCAGTATCACCGAGGAAGACTTCGACAAACTGTTCGCTGCGAATGTGCGCAGTCCCTTGTTCACCGTGCAGGAGGCTGTTCCGCATCTCGCGGACGGTGGGCGGGTGATGCTCTTCTCGACGTCGCTGGCGGCGTTCAGCGGTGTTACCCCAAATTATCTTCTTTATACAGCGAGTAAGGGAGCGGTCGAGCAGATTACGCGCGTCCTGGCAAAGGATCTGGGGAGAAGGGGTATCACCGTGAACACCATTGCGCCGGGGCCCATTGGGACGGATGCGTATTTTGTGGGGAAGACGGAGCAGATGGTGCAGCTTCAGAGTAACTTGGCCCCTATGGGACGATTGGGGAAGCCGGAGGAAGTTGCGAATGTGGTCTGTTTCATTGCCAGCGATCAGAGCCAGTGGGTGAATGGACAGACGATCAGGATCAATGGTGGGATGACGGTGGGCTGACCAAACGAGTCCCTGATATATTTGACAATCTTAGCGAACGTGCTTCACCTTTCTGAATCATCTGCATACATGCAAACTTAACTCAGTAGCGCAGTCAATATGTATTCAATGGCACTTCAGGATTTATCTATCTCAATTTCCGCCGTATGAACTTGGGCATGATAATACTATTCATGAAACTGTGCGCGCCGAATGACACGCTGGAGGGTGGTCAAGGACATGTATCCTTGGGATGAAGGGGATGTAGAAACGAGGCCGAATTGGCTGGTGCTGTGCAGTTATGAGGAGGGCAAGCTACCGTAACAACAATAGCACCGAGACTTGCCAGTCTTGACATGTTAGCTTCGCAATAGAGACCTCATTTTGCACGCGAATGCGCAAGATGCCTCCCTTAGAGCTGCGTTTATTAGACAAAGGTGTGGTGAGATCAAACCATCGACGATCAATCATGCATTCTAGATTCTCAATCGAACAGGGACCAAGGATCATATTCAGCTTCGAAATCTGGGATGCTAACGCGGTTATCAGAACTTCGAATCTTTCCTGGAATTGTAATCCATATGGAAACTGGGAGTCTGGGAGTTGCGTGTCAGCTATTAGTGAGGAGGAAAATGACAGCTAGCAAAATTACCCGATGTCTAGACTAAATACAACGCCCTGGACTAGGTCAGCAAAGTATAAGCCTCCTGCCCTCCACAGCTGTTGGCATGATATGATCGGGTCGTACAGGCAAGCCCTCACCATGTCCACATTGGCTGGGAAATTTTCTCACGTCAAAACATCTTTCCTGGTCAAGTATCGATAGCCGTCAGGACTCATATACTTAAGGTCACAGCAAGGGCGGAGTTTATAAGTTAGCGTATCAGGCAACTATACTAAAAGTTAAAAATAGTAGAAATAACCACAAAAGGGACTCCACAGGCCCTTGCTTTACATTTGAAACTACATAGAGCAACTCGATCTACTGAGTACATAGAACGAACTATGAAATTTTTATGCCTCTTTCTGTTGTCAACTGCAACCTTTTGATTTGAGACTACAGTAACAATGGCCGAGCGATGATGAGCCACTGTCTGGGGTTCATTAGGCGACCGAAAATCTACGTTCTGAACGATGCTGTTTACTGGACACATGTTTAGGATCCGTATACAGTTCATATCACTGCAACAAGTGGAACATACTTGTCTCAACAGGTTCATCATTATATTGTCTCCTATCCAGGACGACCTATTCCGCATCTGCAGCAGCAAGCATATATTGCCTGTTGGATTGGTGTGCACAAATGGCGAACCAGCCCACGCCCCCTTCAGGCTCTCTTTCAGTAAGTCCGTTTCTAACGTAAATGATCTTACGAGAACTGGTTTAATAAGACTCCCAGCAGCAAAGTGCTGTATCCGCGGCCTAGAAGCATGTCTCCCTGAAGCTAAGCTTGCCCACAAGAGGCTTTGATAATAATAAAGGATTGAACCTCTGCTACTGGAATGCAGCCCTAGTAACACTTTCATGCACGGATTCCACCCGTCTCAAGATCTATATGGTGTGGTTCCTTGACCAAACCAAGCTGTTGATCCATCACTTCATGAATCATTCGCTCCCAGGAGCGCCATTTCATCCCAAGTTCTTGCTCTGCTTTGGTGTTGTCGTAGGGCATTGTTCCCCCCTCGGCGTCCATACTAATCTTTGTACCGACATTAGGATAGTCCCTGTGCACGATTTGAGCGACCTCCTTCCAAGTTATTGGTTTGCCGGCCAGCAGGTACTTTGAACCATCAGGGATATCCGGATTCAGGACTTTGATGTGTGCTTCGGCAACGTCCTGGATATGCACTCCAGCAACCGAACGGCCGAAGTTGCCAGTCATGATGGGCTTCCAGAGAACACTATTGGATCCAATTTCATCTGAAGATGACTGGACTAGATTATGCCCTAGCACGAAAGCTGGATGAAGTGACACCAGTGAATAGTGGGGTTTTTCGTCTCGCCAGAAGCTCCAAGCTGCGTTGTTGGACAGCAGCTTTGATGCGTGGTATAGTCTGAAAGCCGTGGCAGCGGGGTCGTTGGGGACCTCGAAGCTTGCATTCTCGTCCACGCTTAAGTCCCAATCGTTGTCCTCTGAAAATAGAAGGAAAATGCAAGATCAGCTGATGTCGAGAATTACCAAACCAGAGTGACTTACCTTTCACGATACCGCCTGCGGGTATTCCAGTGAGCGGAATCAGAGCAGCTCTGGACGATGTTACGACGACTTTCTTGATACTTGTGACGCCGGCAGCTTCCTTCAGCAAGACAGTTGTTCCTTTAACAGCCGGGATGAAATAGTCCTTCTTGTCTGTCCCTCGAGGGACAGCGGAAGCCAGGTGCAGAATGTAGTCGACTCCATTCAACTTTCCTTGGAAAGCTGTTTCCTCCGTCAGATCTGGTACGGTAACATATTCAACTTGCTCGCTATACTCCGATAGCAGGGCTTGGAGCTTTTCTGACGCCTTTCGGACGCATACTCGTAGTCGATAACCTGCCTTGAGAGCAGCGAGAGCCGTGGCACTACCGACGAAACCCGTGGCACCAGTGATAAAAATTAATTCCCCTGCCATGATACAAGAAGACTGAATGGATGTCTGGGGAGTTGTGAGTTGCGATTGGAGCTGTGGGAACATACCTATATATGTCCGCTGTGGGATGCTCTCGGCTTTGAGCATTACAAATTAGTTTACTAATCATAGCCGGAGACTCTATTTTTGATTACCGATCAGGTTGATGTTAGGCCGATTCTCTGTTAGAAAAAAAGAATACCAATAATATAAGGTTACTTTCTATTCCAGAGTGCATTTCTAAGTTCCGCCACATAACGTTAAAAACTTAGGTTGATTTTATTATTCAAAACTTTCCCTCCCTGTCTTCTCTACATTCAACCCTATGAATAAGAAAGGCAGAAATCTAGACTGTGCAGCAAGGCAGAGGGCGTCTCATCCCTGTACCTCTGAATAACTGTTGACGCCTGAATACGATGTAGGGACACACTGTTTAGTTTAAAGCACTCTGATATATGGAAACCAAAGGGTATAAAGGCGGGCACCACCAC